CGAATAAAGTGCGGGGGACGAAATTAAATTTCTTTAAAATTAAATATTAAAAATGCAGCTAACGTTCTACACACAGCAATATAAGCAAAGGTGCCTGTTCTCTTTCGTTCTTTCTGTTTGATTGGGAAAAGTTTAAAGGGCGTCGAGGGGTCTTGTTTATGTTATCTGACTAAAAAACTATTACTTTGAACTTTTTTTTAAAATTACAGTAGCCTATTTATTTTTAAAACGTAGATTGCCTTAAAAATAATTATCACAACCCTGATAAAACTCATAATTTTCTCATCCTCCGATTTATAGGCTACTTATCAATCCTGTTTTTATCCTGTATTTATATCATAATTTCAAAAATGAATAAATTCAGAACAGGATTATAATATAATTCTATTTTAAATAAGAGAGAAATATTTTTTCTACAACAACAGTAGTGTTTACAACAGCAAAACCACCATACCCTGTAAACTCAATAATAATAATAGGCCTGATTTAATTCCGTTTCTATTTTCAGAGTGATTAAGAGGTGCAAAGAACTATTTATTTAACTTTTAAACTTAAAATGGTCTTTTCTGTTCTGTGTTTCTTTTTCAAAACTGCGTCACGGCATTTGCTGCTATATCAATACAGAAGCATCCGTTTCGATACATGTCCCTATTAAAAGCCGTGCTCCATGTGCCCCTTTTATACTTTGAGCACCTGCCCCTCCAAAGGTCTCTGCACGGCCCTGCAGGGCACCATACCAGTTGCTCAAAAAAAAAAAACGTTCGTTCTATATTAAAATTAACATATAACGTTACATATACATAAATAAAAATCTAAAGATTAACATATATATATATATATAGTTATAAAAATGCATTTTACGGTGAAGGCTAAGTACATGTGATGCGCCATTCCCGCATCCGCGCCCGCTGGCACCTCATTAAAAAAAACAAAAAAAAAAAAACTCGCACCTCATGTTTGTGGCTGAATGCGAATGATCATAATTGCCGTGAAAAGACATCAGCGATCTGGCGCCGAGAAAAGAAAAAAAGATGAAGCCCCTGCATCACTTTCAGGTAGCCTACATTCATAATCCAGTAAAACTTTTTTGGATGTTGACGTTAATGACGTGTTTTAATGTCGGTGCTATGAAGGTAAGATATTGATTATCGAGAATACCATTACGATGTCATTTAAGAGATTAGACTAACTGCCTAAACAGTTACGATAGTGTTTATTTGTCAGCATTTAAATGTAGGCTACAGTTACGTGTCTGGGTAGCCTACTTTTCTGGGATTACCAGACTCTGCATATAAATTTATATGTACTTTAATAACATAAAACAGTATGTTAATTCCGCTATCATTATTTATGGTGTTGCAATTATTTTGTTTCTCAGTTTCTGATAAGAATGAGGCAGGAGAGGTTTCTGTGAGAGTCTCTACCTATATAGCACATATATAAAATGAGCTTCACCGGAAGATTATGAGCTGGTTTATCTTTATCCGGAAGTTCTAAATAGCGCTCCGTGCATATGGTCAATTTAACCACCAGCAATCTAATATTCTCTCTGACTTTTCATGTTCCCTTACAAAAATTAGCCATGGTTTTACGAATAAAACCAAAATTCATGGTTCTTGTAGCCATGGATGTTAACCACAAATTAACCATGGTTTTGTTACTTCAATAGTTTACAAAGAAGTATTAAGATAATAATTTTTGTGGTTATAAAATCAGACCTAAGCCAACAACAGCCTTTAAAATTACTTAAAATGCATTATATAAAACAATGAGGCAATAATGATTGATTGGTCTTGCAAAGGGAGTCAAAGGCCTGGTAACTGCTGCTGTTACACTTACAGGACGATCAAGTCCTTTAATATTGACCAAACATTTAATTCAAATATCCACTTAATCTTTAATTTTTGACCACCTTTTTGCAAAAGAAATGCGACAGCCTCAATAATTTCTTCAACAATATAGAAACATTATAGAACAGTATAGAATCGTACAGTGGTGGTTCAAGCTTGTATGGCGCCCTGGGCGAACCACCCCGTCTGCCACCTCTAAATGAAATTAATTTTTCATAATTTTGCTATTTTATATAAATGTATATATTTAGATTTTTACAAATTCAGAAAAATAAATAAAAAATACAATAAATCCCTCCAAAACGGCACAACTGTACAGTAAGAATAATAAAGTGAGTAATGTTACATATTTTTTGTTTTGTTTTTTGTTTGTCTTTTTTAAAAACTACATTATGTTACAATATCACATTTTACTGTCTGACTATTATGGATTGTTGTTGCCCTAGATGAGCATAAGCAACATAGCATAACATTAGTCATATAATATAGATTTTTATGTATAGATCAGGGGTGGCGAACGTCAGTCCTGGAGAGCCGCAGCCCTGCAGAGTTTTGCTTCAACCCTAATCAAACACACCTGTACAAGCTAATCAAGGTCTGAAGGTTTACTAGAAAGCTACAGGCAGGTGAGTTTTAATTAGGGTTGGAGCTGAACTCTGCAGGGCTGTGGCTCTCCAGGACCGGAGTTCGCCACCGCTGGTATAGATCTATAGATATATATATAGTATTTAGTTGTATTTGCATATAATTTTCTGAAAAATACAGACAATTATATAAATAGGCTTATATATAAAACCTGTATAAATAGCGCAAATACCATGAGCAGTAGCTACAATGCACATCAGTCTTATGGGACCATTCAAGGCTGTTTACAGATAGGGGTGACTGCTCATCAGTGTTCTTGTTCTGTGAGGAGTTAGATTTTGAAGCTTTGTTCCTTAAGACATATAGTTGCAGCCATTCTTTTTCGCATCTTTGATTTTGTTCAGGCTCACTACTTCAAACGGGATGATGTCACCCTTCCTGGATTTGCCAAGTTCTTCAAGAAGAACAGTGAGGAGGAGCGCAAGCATGCTGAGAAATTCATGGAGTTCCGGAACAAGAGGGGTGGATGCATCGTCCTTCAGGACATTAAGGTGCTTTGATCATGTTTTGAATTAAGCATTTTGACTTTGAACATTGTAACATAAGTGTAAGGTCCACGCACTTGGCCCAAGGAAGGTATCCAGTGGTGGGTGAAGGTTTCTTGCATGTTCGGTCTTTTCAGCGCGCAAAGTTATTCAATTTAGGTTTAACTCAAATCTGACTCCATTTTAGTATGACCTCGAATTTAGGTTGAAAGGCAAATTGGTTGTTTGTCTGTCTCTAATTATTGCTATTATTCTGACATTTGGTTATTCTAGTTAACTCTTTACTTTATATTTACTCGTTCATTAGGAATCTATGTCGCTCAGGGTGCCTCAAGACGGCCGCTCTACGTGGGCCCCACGATCACAAATTCAAATGATACCAAACATGACTGTAAATATTATTTGCATTGATGTAGAACATTATACTATTGACCATTCTGAGTGAACCAAGTGGAGGGAGGATGGGTAAGAGGAAGGAAGGGGATGAAAAGGAATTGATGAATTCCTGTCTCGAAGATGCCCGTGTATGTTTGTATTGTCTGTTTCTCAGGAGATCAAAGTATCTGAGTTTCTTTAATCCTTACATAAGCAAAGCTGACTCTTTTTGGAATGACCTTATGCCATGCTCACTACTCATTGTTTGTATTTCTCTTCAGAAACCAGAGCGTGATGTGTGGGGCAATGGACTGACTGCTATGCAGTGCGCTCTTCAGCTGGAGAAGAACGTCAACCAGGCTCTGCTGGAACTGCATAAGGTCGCCTCTCAAAAGGGAGACCCTCATGTTTGTGACCCTCATTGTTGAAGCTGAGACTCTAAATTTGCCTCCGTATACATGTCTCTTTAAAGCAGTTTCATGCAGTGCTGGGAATTTTGCATCCTAAATTCTGTTCTGATCTCTTGTCCAACAGCTGTGTGACTTCCTGGAGACTCACTACTTGGATGAGCAGGTTGAGGCCATCAAGAAGCTTGGTGGCCACATCACCAACCTTACCAAGATGGATGCTGGCAACAACAGGATGGCAGAGTATCTGTTTGACAAGCACACCCTGGATGGCGACAGCAGCTAAATGCAGCCCTGAGATCCTATCAATACATGAATGAATAGAAACACTATTCTCTTGTTCTTATCACACAGCTCTTGTGCAAAATTTTGAAGTCTGAGAGGTTGAAAGGTTAACATCATGTAAAGTTTCTTGTTACGATAAAATGATGCAGTGTTACGGTTTTAAATAGTCATCCTGTGATTGTCATCAAGCAATGCTTTCTTGCTGAATGTGCAGTGACTGACCTGGTGAATTTAAATAAAACTTCTGAGCTGAATAACCTTGTCTTTTTTATTTAAAATTGCAGGATGCATTTAGTGGGCTGTAATTATTATATCGGACTGTATCTGAATTTTTCTGCCCGCAGAAAAAGCTGTGAATAAAGGTCACAATACTGTAATTGATTAATGTACAAATCTACTATAACAGCGACAACAAACCTCATAAACTGAAAATAGACGAGACACTTCACTCATCTCCATCCTGAAGTTTCCATCCTGTAATGATGATGTCACTGACACAACCACATCATAAAATTTAATGTACAACTTAATATTTTATACAGAGAAAATACAAAATACTAACTTACAACCTTTTCGTAGTCTGCTAAATGAATAATCTAAATATTCACATGAATTTGCACGGCACTAGTTGTAGCATTTCATTTTACCACATGAGGGTGCTGTTTCCTCCGTAGGCCTATGTCTAATAATCGCACATTGATCATGAGCACTGAAAGACCAAGCAAGGCCCGTTGTGGTTCAACTGAATATTTATTTTTTCAATATCTCAATAATCGTCAACTATTGGTGAAGCCTTGTCCTTATTTCATAACCAATGAACAAAGTTTACAGCCTGCTTATGCCATACCACTCATACCTATTAGCAGCAGTGAACCACCGACTAATCCGATTCAGAAGGGTCACTGAACGAAAATTATACTGGAAATTCGAATCGGATAAACAGCATGCAGGAGATTATATGGGCAAATTGATAAACGAGCGTAAGAGGTGGATGAAATAAGATTGTCACATGAGAAAACCCAGGGCACAGAACTGCCAACAGAAGGGAGAGCACGATTAATCCAAGTGAAAGAGGGTTTGGCGCTTCAAATGCGCTTTGAGAGAGGAGAGAGAGGGACAGATAAGAGTAAGAGCAGCGTGTGAGAGGGCTGCTGCGTAACTGTCCTCAACAAAGCACAGATTTCTATCTATATAAGAGAGTTGGATCAGAAGCACATCATCAGGTACGTTTGATTATTGTTTGCTTATAGGCTCCACTTATTCATGTAAACATTATACTATCTTGGAATTGATTCACATGTCAAGCAGTGTCATTTAAAATAATTTTAAACAACATTTCTAGTTATTTTATGATTCTTATGTAGCCTGTGCAATTTTATAGCATCATATTAATTAAGATACTACATGGAAATAGTTGCAACTACTTGAAAATGTGTCACTATGTAGTTTGAGTGAACAGCAAAAGGATAAATGCATTTAAAATATTAAAATAATAAATTGTCACCACCAGTTAAATTCATGGAGACTATATAAACAACAACACAGTCCACAGACAAGCTAAATGAAAAAGACCATTCACATTAAATTTCATGTATAAGTGAAAACTATTAAGAAATATATAGTCATTTTTTGTTCTCCACATTTTGTATAACAGTAACCTAAATCTTTTCTTTAAGACTCTTTAAGGCTCAGACGACTAAATTGATGCTTAGCCTATGTGCGTAAATGCTCTTCAGTCTTGGACAACTGTGTGTAGTACTAAGGTTTTTATTCATTTTTTATTTTTTAACGGAAAAGTGACTGGATGAGATTTAGGTAATCCGAAAATACAGCAGTTCTGCCCGCTGGTAGACAAAGTATAGATGAAGGAAAGAAAAACAAGGCCGTATGACGCCGGTTGATGGCCTGTGACGCACTGAGCGACAGGCCTTCTTTAGCCAGATTATTGCAGACGTGTCAGCAAATTACACAAATTATGCTTTCTGAACTCTCAGATTACGCACTTTCATTGTATCTGCTTTTTATGGAAAAGATGAGAAAAGACACAAAAAAAAATCACTTAATTGTTACGAACGTTTAATTCCCCTTTCTCATTCAAAAACTAATGTAGAAAAACTTTTAAATGTTGGAGGCTGTGTATAGGAACTATATGTGTCTATATTTTGCAGATGTCAGAATACTAAATATGGAAAACAGCTAAAAACTGCTACATGAATCAAATAGACTTGTGCCCTAGCTAACATTTTACCTAAATTTAAATAAATAAATAAGCATATATTATATATCTAAATGAAAAAACATTAGCTTTTTTTTTATAAAAAATAAAATAAATATATTCTATTTATATAAATATTATATTTACAATATTCTCCTGAGTGGTTGATGCACAGGTGAGCTACATTAATTCAGCTGTAGCAATGATGCTTCTAAACAGCAAACACATTTAAGCAATTCTTTATATACCCCAAATAATTATATATGCACATAATGTATATGACTTTACATGTTTAAAAAAAAGTTCACACACTAACAAATTTAAATAATATTTTTTATGGGTGAAAAATCAATTAAAAATGACAGAAAAATATATAAGAAAATTATATTAAAGTGACCACCGGGATGTAAAAATAATCTTAATATATCAATCTTATGTCTTTCTCAAAGTCATTTTATTAACCATTTTATTGGTGAGGTATATATTAAATATATATGTATAGATATCACGTGCATATAAAGTGAAGAAAATGGATCAGTCATAAGTTAATCATGATAACCCAGCAAGGTCAATAGAGAAAATTAAGAATTTAATTTTTTTAACTGTGACTAACAAAAAGGTTTATGTTCATCATTTTTCATCATTGTGGTCAGTCCATGTGGCTGACAGGTAAACAAGGTACAGGAAGAGAATCATCATAAAGTCCTGTCCTCATAAATCCAACTGTGACTTTGCTGCTCAACATGTTCTTATATACAATTAAGAGAAGTGGCTTCCTGAAGTCTTTAGTCTTACATAGCGGTCTGGTGACAAGATGCCGTTGGCTGTGTAGGCTCAAGTGTGAAAGTGGAGTGGGAGGGCCCTGTTCCTAATTTACTTAAACCCAAGGATTTTTGGATTAGCTTTGGTAATTAATCTCGCTATGCATCTGCTGAGAGTGACAAGAGTTCAGTTCAACAGAGTAGGGCAGGTGGAAACATAACCATTGTGTGTTAATGTGTATGACAAATATTTTTTTAACACATGGGCATAACACGTGCATGGTTGTGTTTTGATATGTTACAATTCCAGGATTAATATCGGACATGCTGAGCTCTAGCATCAGAGCTTACTCCATCAAAAGTCACAGCAGACACAAACAGGACAGAGGTCGGGAGGGAAAGAGAAAATTTCCCTCCCGTCGGCTTTACAGAAGGAGGGGCGGTGGATGGGATGAAAAGGAGCACATTATAAAAAAAAAAAAAGAGGCACATTAAATGAATTCTTCAGAGGATGTGAGACCGATCTACACAATATGTGTGATTTGGGGCATTTAGTTTATGTAGGTTATGTCAGGACAGTAACAGTCTTGTTTTATGTCTCTAGCTGATCAGCCATGCGTTTGGTCAGCATGCAGCATCGTGTGCGGAGGGCAGCAGAATCAGAGGAGGAGCCCAAACCTGCTCCACCCCCTCTGCCCCCTCCCTCTCACCACTCCCACAACTTCATAAATATGAAGAACAAGTTTTTCAATGAGCTTGGCCATCTACCTAGTAAGTAATAATTGTATGTCAATACACCACACATGACTATTCCAGCAGGCCACCATCGTTGTAAGACATGAATATTCAGTTGAATGTAGGTTCTGACATTGGTGATGATGTCAGGACAACATCTAATGCCGATGTCAGTGTGACGCAGAATACTGACATTGATATTTTGATGCTTTTAAGTCATGGTATCGTCTTATGCCAACATCATATTGACGTCCAACACCAACCTTTAGTTGTGAAGTATGGTACCCAAACCCAACATTTGTTAAATGTGATAATCTTAAAGGTATAGTTCACCCAAAAATGAAAAGTCTGTCATCATCTACTCACCCTCATGTTGTTACAAACCTGTATGACTTCCTTTCTTCTGTTGAGAGGATATCATATTTTCTTATTTTGAAGAATGTGGGTAACCAAACACTTGCTGGTCCACTTTGACTTCCATAGTATATATATATATATATATGGAGATCAATGGGGACCAGAAACAGTTTGGTTACCAACATTCTTCAAAATATCTTCTTTTGGGTTTAACAGAAGAAAGAATTCCAAAACACAGGTTTGGAACGATGACAGAATTTTCATGGGTGAACTGTCCCTTTAACATCCACAAAATGTAAAATGTACAATGTCATTAGACATTGATATTTTATTGGTTTAGTCATGGTATTAAGTAAAAAAACAAAATGGCTCTCAAATGTTGGCTTTTCATATCAACCTGATTTTCATCTTCAGGCAAAATTTACGTCGGTCCAATGTCGTACTGACATTAAATTGTTGTCTGGTTCCAGCTGGGATCATTCATATTTCATCATATTATCATTACAAAACACACATTCCCATCAAACTGCTTATATTTGTATTTGTATATATATACATATATAAAAGTGTGTGCGTGATCAATTAATTCCTCCATTTTTTCCACTTCCATGTGCACCCTTCATGTTTTTATCTATTCCATCAACAGACCCCAAGATCAAAAGTAAGTTCCAATTTTCCTAAGACTTTTTCTGTCAGTCCTCCATCCACCTATTCATCTACTTATTCATTTAGCAGAAAATGTGTAATTGGTTGAAGTCATGTCTTTTTTACTAACAGAAATGAAATGATGATCATTGTTTTTTTCTCTCTCTCTAATTTTCTTTCTTTCTCCATTGCATAGTGCCCATGTGGGCTATTGGTGCCATAGTTGTGGTCGTGCTTGCCCTGGTTGGCTGCTTTGCTTTCTGTATCTATAAGAAGTGCTTGGGAGGGAAGAAAAAAACTAAAAAAGTCAGAGAGAGGAAGGGAGGACGAAGAAGGATGAAAAAGGAAGGAGAGGAAGAAGCAGGCGAGGTAGGAGAGCCTGAAAATTTAAAGCATGTTAAGGCCATAGTGTTCAGAGAGAATTAAGCTCTTTCAGATCTTGATGTGTCAAATTATTCATTTTAATCTAAATGTTAAAAAGAAATGGGAATGTTTGGCTTAAAGTTTTGCTCAAGTATTTTAAATGTATACTGCCCATACTTAGGTACAACCTAAAGACGGAGAGGGCGAGGGAGAGAAAGAATATTATGGCAAGTTGGAGTACACTCTGGACTATAACTTCACTGACAATCAGGTTGGTTGAAAGTAGATGTTCTTAATATGCATTGTGATTGTGCGTTCATATGATCAACTAATATTTTTTACACAAATTAACAATATAAAAATAAATAATAATGCTATAAATACTATTCTAAAAAATGTATGACTAGCTACTTGATTTTGAAAACCTGACCCACAACCTCTTCTTCAACAACCTTCAGCTCATTGTCGGTGTCTTGCAAGCCCAAGACCTTGCTGCCATGGATATGGGTGGAACATCTGACCCATATGTCAAAGTTTATATGCTACCAGACAAGAAGAAAAAGTTTGAAACCAAGGTCCAGCGCAAGAATCTGTGTCCTGTTTTCAACGAGACATTCATATTTAAGGTGCATTTTTTGGGGATTAGCTTAAAGACAGTTTGTCATACACTTTATCTTAATTTCACAGTAGACTAAGTGCAACATACCTTTTTTTCTAAACAAAGCAAATACATTTTGTTTGCATAAATGGTACTAGGTCAGTGTTCATGCAACATGATTTTTTATTTCTGTTTCTAGATCCCCTTTAATGATCTAGCAGGACAGACTCTGGTCCTGCAGGTGTTTGACTTTGACCGCTTTGGTAAACATGATGTAATTGGAGAGATCAAAATCCCTATGAACAGCATTGACCTGGCCCAGCCCATACACGAATGGAAAGACCTGGTCGGAGGACAGAAAGAGGAAGTAAGGCTTTCCTTGGCTGTTTAAATTTTTTTTTTTATCAGCTGCCATAGTCTGTTTTTTTGATGCTTTTAAACTAATCACTCTCCTCTTCCTTCTCCAACAGCAAGAAAAGTTGGGAGACGTCTGTATCTCCCTGCGCTATGTGCCCACCTCTGGTAAGCTGACTGTCTGTATCATGGAGGCCAAGAACCTGAAGAAGATGGACGTGGGTGGTTTATCAGGTTAGTGTGGTAGCGTTATTATGTTAAAGTTACATTTCCTTTCTGTGTTGTACTTTATATTAAAATGAAATGATTCTCTACACATCAAATGTGACTTTATTTTAAAGTAATAAGACTTTTTTACTTTGAAATATCCTGGCTTTGCAGCATTTCTTGGCTTTATCCATTTTCTTTCCTTTTTTGTCTAAGATCCTTTTGTGAAAGTGGTTTTGCAACACAATGGAAAGCGTATCAAGAAGAAGAAGACGACAGTTAAGCAGAACACACTGAACCCCTACTTTAATGAAAGCTTCAGCTTTGAAGTCCCTTTCGCTCAGATTCAGGTAAACATGTTTGAAACACATTTCCTTGACTACTTGCATATCTAATACATTTACAGATTTATATTTGTGGTCCTTTAATTCCGCAAAATGCGACCTTTTCACTGTATAGTATGTAAAGTGATAATGTTACTACACTGTAAAAAAAAATCATTTTCGAAGTAAATAAAACAGATTATTGCAGTATACTTCAGAATTTCACATTTAATTCAATGTTACTTGCTGTTTCTTTTTTAATTATTTGTAAATTTTACTAGCAAAATCTTGAATTTCTTGAATTTTAAATGCTTCTGGTATCTGACTGTTTCAAAGTAAATATCACAGCAAAAATGTTCAGTCTACTAAACTCATCTGTTTACAAGTGAAAGGTTTGATGAGAAACAACAAAGTGGATTAAATGCGTATTGACCTATTTTTCTGTTCCTCTGACTTCCTGTAGAAGATCCAGGTGTTGCTCACTGTCTACGACTATGATAAACTGGGAAGCAATGATCCAATTGGGAAGTGCTGGATTGGGTTTGGTGCTAGTGGAGTGGGTCTGCGCCACTGGTCAGACATGCTGGCCAATCCCAGACGACCTGTGGCCCAGTGGCACACCCTTCAGCCTGAAGAGGAAGTAGATGCTGCCCTTAAAGCACCTATCCGCTAAATATCTTATTCACCCTCAACATAAAGTTTTCAGCACACATCAGGCAAAATCATTTAAATTTCATCCGTCCTTTCACTGAGGAGTTTCTGTCTGTTACGTTATTAACATCATTTCCTGTACCCTTCTTTACTGTGAAAACAAAGGAGGAGTAACTTTTATAAATGTTATGTATATTATGTTCATCTGGATTGTGTTTCTTATTTAAATGTGTCTGTATGTGGATGATAACTGTGTGTGTTTGTTTGAAAGTGTTGTGTGTATGTATCTGTCCAAAACCCTGATAGCACACGTACAGCATGGAGACATCTATTTGACGTCTGCATTTACATCTGCAAGACGTATTTTTTTAGTGTTTGCTCATCTGCAATAACTTAGGACGTTTCCTGTCAGATGTCAAATAGACGTTTAGAAAATGTCTTTAAGATGTTTATAATTTAGGATGTATGTAAAACTGCCATCTTAAAGACATCTATCAGATGTTTGTACACAGCAGATGCTTTCCAGATGAAGCGATCTTTAACAGACATCTTGCAGACGTACATGTGCTATCTGGGAACTGTCCTGATTTGCCTCGTCTTTTTTTTTCTGTGAACCAAGATGACTATAAACACAACAATTGGATACAAGACATGTTTTCATTTCATGTACAAATAGACACACAATAGTTGTAAAATTCTGGGGGGTAAAAACTAGTCATTAACTGTTGGTAAATATTTCATCATAATATAAAATGATTTATTAATATGGCAGCCATTATTATATGTAAACATGTCGGCCAAAAGCAATTGTCTGGTTGGTTTCAGTAGTATTTAGAGTTGTCCAGTTGTAGGTGGAAGCCTGGATTAATCTTGTGGTGCAGTGCTGGACTAAGCCATACATGTGAGCAGGGATTTACAGCCAGTGAAGGGCGGGAGTGCGGAGAGGATGAAGGAGACCAGAAAGGACACAGACAAAGTCATACAGAGTGATTAGGGATAGATAGAGAGACAGCATTTTAAATAAAAAGTAAGTTAACTGGTTACAAATATGAATTGGTTAAGGACAACAAAATATGAAGAGTTCAGATGCAAAAGCCTCCAAGTGCCATTTGAAATTTTCTTCTAAAATGAGCATTTTTGTCAGGCTCCTATGTTTATTTTCAGTTATTTCACTTTAATGGCAATGAAAAGACTATTCATTGCCATTAAAGTGAAATTACTGAATAGGAGCGTGAGAAAAATGCTCATTTTAGAAGAAAATTTCAAATGGCACTTAAGAGGCTTTTGCATCTGAACTCTTCACATACAGATTAACACAAACCAAGATGCAAATCGGTGCATTGCAAGCTAGCCAAAATTATATACTGACCGTGATTGAGAGAGTTTATGCACCCAATGTATATCTTGAGAATATTGTAGTAAGTTTTGGTTTTAGATTAATACTCTTCTTGCATTAATAATCTTTTTAACAATGCTAATCCATATTAGCATGACATCTACAAGAAAGCGCATTTGCGACTGTCATGCTACAACACTGCTGCTTTGAGACTAGCCTAGCACTAAGTATAACAAGAATGATTTTTAAATTGGTTTCTCAAAGGCTCTTCGGGAAGTTTGTATACATTAGCATGCTTGTTCACACAGCAAGAACGTTGTATTAAGATCTACTTACCAGCAGGAGGCGTAGTGTTAACATGAAGTTTTGCTAGTCTACTAATTTGTTATGAACAAGCGCTCACGACCACCAGATGGTGATTGCAGATCAACAATTGGTTAAATCAGGTTAAAGATGTCAGAAATTCTAATACATACATGTGCAGTACATTTCATATAATGCCTGCATGTAAATACATCTTTAAATAATTTCTGTATGATACATCTATAATTTCACAGGTGACCCTCCCCCTTTCCCTAACCCACCCACCACGAAACCTTTCACTGACCAACCTTTACCTTCACCCATAACACTTTTTGTATAGCAGCAAGTGTTTTACAACAATACAACATGAACACAATATACATTTCACTTTACCTAAAACTACTGTGAAGTGGGACTAATTTAATTAGGCCTACATGTTAACTCAGCCTATCCTTCTGTTAAGATGTAATGTAGCCTAGTGTTAATGTGGGCCTGTCGATTGCCTTCAGCAAGTCTTAACAATTATAGTACACACCTTTTGACAATTACACTTGTAATTTTCACACAAATATTTGCTGGGAACTACAGCTTAATGCTATTTTGTATAGGTGAACACTCCATCCCTGAATCCTCCCTCAACCTGCTCTTTACTATTGTGTCACTCACTACTGCACAAGAGGCTTCATGTCTGATGTACAGAACAGTTTCATCTTTTGGGTTCCTTGATAACATCCCATTTTACTTCAGCAAACCTAATGAAAACTGACCAAAAGACATGTAGGAAAGTACATTTAAGGAAATGATTTAAGCTTTTAATAGCGAGGCATGTGAGCTGGAGACCACAACTTTTGTGCAGCATCATGAAAACAGGATTCTCAGGCCATGTTCTAAACATGATGAATGAAGACGAACATCTTTAAATGATGTCAAAGCCACTCTGACACACAACTTATTTTCATTTCCTCAACATACATTCCTCTTCCCTTTGGGAGTGAATTGGTTTCTGTTGCATTTCCAGTCTGCTTTGCAAAGAATAAAAGATGATTCAGATGCATTTTTCATTTACATTTATTAATTTAGCAGACACTTTTATCCAACGTTCCTTGCGAATGAAAATAATACAGAAGTGATTAATCTAATCCAAGCACATCAGATCTGAGAGGAGTTTTGAATACATTCAGAACTGTTATTCTTTTGCACAGGCTGTGAAATTGACAGAAGAGACAAAAGTAAAAGCATCCATGGTGTCTTTTCATTATTTTTCCAATTTCTTATTTCCAGCGACCTCCAACCTTTCCTTTACCATGGCCTTTTTTGCTGTGATAAATAGAGAGGTGAAACATGAGCATAACTGAGACAGATGGACATTTTAAATAAATTTTTCATTGAAGAAAAATGCTTAAGGGTTGGTTCACCCAAAATTGAAAATTCTGTCATCATTAACTCTGTCATGTTGTTCCAAACCTACATGACTTTCTTTCTTCTGTGAAACACAAAAGAAGATATGTTGGGTGGACTATCCCTTTAAGTTAGAAACACACTACACAACTTTTGCCTAGCTTTTTGTACTGATTTACAGTCTGGTGACGATTAAAGTCAGAGCCAGTCAGATTTAACAGCTTCCAGAGCCGGCGCCAGGGCACCTACATTGGGTAGTGGGCATTTACATTTCATTTATAATTCATGTTGAGCGGTGCTAACGCCCATGAAAGCGTGCAATACTCTGCTTTTTTTTTTTTCTTTTCTTTTTTTTTTTTTTTTTCACTTTCACTTTCGCTTTCGACATCGATCACATACAGCAAGGAGGGGAGAAGAGGGGAAGGGGGCATAGTAACAAGTCTGGAGGGGCAAGGGCCCCACCTTGGTGCCGGCCCTGGCGTAGTCATGACTCTGATTTTATCCAGTCTGAAAAAATCAAACATGTTTCAACCAGGCGCATGTTTCTGAGTGAGTTTGCTGTGTTTGGAAGTCTGGTAGTGTGTGTGTGTGTGTGTGTGACTCTGTTGTTTAGTGTATGATCCCCTATTTTTCTCTATAACCATTTACAAAGTTAGCAAGTGAATGATACCTAGTGTTATAAAATCTGTTCAGATGTAGTGTGTTTCAGCATTTAAACAATCTGCTAATTAACTTAATGTGACTTACAACTTTTGAGCGTGGGAAATCCTGTTCAACAGAACAACAATCTGTTGAGAAGAAAGCAAAGTTCAGATAAGTACACTGTATCACTTGCACTTTCACTGGCTTTCACTTTCTATCTTTACATCTGGTTTCCTCTAATTCAACCGAACACAGATTAGTATTTGCCAAAACAAACAGATTTAATACAGTGTAATCCTTATTCATCAGTCGCCAACACCTAGATTTCTCAAACCTCAATTCTTTATCAAATCGCCACACCTCATATTTCTGTCTCTTCATTTGATCCAAGAGGTCAAACTTCTCTGACTCCAGCTGGTAAATCCAGTTCCACATCTCTTGAGCTCGTTGCCTGTTTTGTGGGAGTAAGGAACAGACATGATGCAAAACTGTCAGGTTTAAATAAAAACAAGGAGCATGGGGAAAAACACGAGAGTCTGAAAAGGAACACACTTTTAGATGTAAATTTACTGATCATTGCACATCTTACATAACGGTAAACATATGACTGTATTTAGATGTGTATGTGGGTGATTACCTTAACCCATCCTCTCGCAGATTTTCAATGCCAAGAGGAGAGTGCCTCTCTGAAAGAGTCTTTCTCTTGATCTCTCGTCCAGTCAGACGCTTCCCTCGTTTCTGCTCTGCCTAAAACACAAACACAAAAATACATATGTACAAACGTATTAATGTACATAAGGTAAGACACATGTCCACAACAGTAACTTACCTTGGCTAAGAAGCCACCAAAGTTTGCCCCCATATTGGACAAAACCTTCTTCTTCTTGGCCTCGTCTTCTGCTCTCTTCTTAGCCTCCTCGTCCTCTTTCCTCTGACGCTCTTCCTGATGAGAGAGCATAGATAATACATTTCACATCGATTTTATCTCACAAGTATTCTGTATTAAATTCCACATACAATTTAGAGAGCATTTGAGTATTTTATTTACTAAGTTTTATTGATTTACCGCAATCCTTGTCTGTCTCTTTCTTTCTCTCTCTGCTCTAACACGCTGCTGTTCTGCTCTTTCTGCTCGCCGCCGCTCCTGATGGACCGAATGGCCGAAAATTAGTGCAAAGTAAAGAGAAAAGTTTTTTTTTTTTTGTGGTAAATAAAAGAGAAAAAAAATGAAGTGATAAAGACTGGGAGTTACAATTCTCTCCTTGAGACCGATCAGTTCTTCCTCCTCTTTCTTCCTCTGCTCAAAGTGGACATCAATTAAAGTCTGTAACTCCAGAAGGTCCTTTTCCATCCTTTTTCGGTGAATATCCTGAGAGAGAAAATGATATAGCTTATAAATGGTAAACCATAATTTTCATGATGTCCAAACAGCTTACAACACACAATGATGTGTTTTTATGTCTTTATTGAGCACACCTTATAACCATTAACTGTGCAGGGTGGGGAAAATGAACCCTGTATATTCTCAGTTTGCAGTTCATTTTAAGCAGATGAACTGAACTGGATTGTTACTTACATCGAAATCAACCCGCTCACCCTCTGGAATCTTTGGAGGGGCAAGTTGTGGAACCATGGGCCTGTGTGAGAGAAGGGAATCAGCAAGAGATTTAGGGGAATAAGTGCATGAAGACATTAGGAAAATGCAGAGTGTGCTGATGGTTTGATGAAAAGAGTGTCTGAACACTTACTTAGGCCGGGGTCTTTCCTCCTCTGAAAAAAAGGGGCAAAGAAAAGGGTAAAAAGAAACAAGGAAGTTGTTGTCAAATGTGTGTCATAGTGAGTTACACTGGTTGTATGAACTGTGTTTTTGCACCTCCTTGTGACATTTTCACATTTTAAAAATATCTGGAAATTCTGTGGGGGCGTGTTAGAACGAGCCATTTTAGGGGGGCGTGGCTGACTCTTAACTTTTATAAAGAATATCTCTTTGGATTTGAGACTTTAGTCTTTGCAACTTTACAGATCTTCTTTATGCACCAAGAGCTTGTAACACTCCAAAGAGAAAGGAAAACTTGAAATCGCATCATATGACCCCTTTAAATAAAGCTGGTCCATCTGATACAACACAAGACTCCAGAGGACACAGCTGTCACAGGATTCTTTCGTGACCTCTTCAGTTCACAGGCCAATGTTATTCAAGTCAGTGATTTATTACAGTATAACATTCTGTGTTTGGGGGGAAAAAAACATGTCAGTCTAGTGGGTAACACAAAAGAGCTGTAAAAGTTGAATGTGATCAGATATTTAGAGCCTGTTCCCATCTGATGTAGATTTGTCATGCATAGTTTTCATATCATAAATCATAAGCCTGTCCGTATACTGTTTTGTTTGTTTTTACAAAAACTGTGTGAACTGACTGAAAACAAAAACTGTAAATTTACAAAAACAGACCAAAACAAAATAGTCTATAAAATCTTTAACTAACAATACTGAAACATTAGCATAATCAAAATGGCTTCTTGACACATCAGACATGAAATACAGTATTTTGCTATTTAATGTATAAATTACATGAAATGAACTATTATTTATAAATTTTCGTTTCACACTTGTGACAAAAATTCCATAATTAATGCTAGTCAACAATTCTATATGCCATGCATGTCAATGAAAAAGAAAAGCCACAGATGTTTCACCGTGATGAGCAGAGGATGGGAAAAGACTATTTATAACACAGAACTCAGGGATCAGGATAAGTAGGTAAAGGAAATTATTTCAACTAAAATCCCTCACCTTCTTCCAGAGTTTCCTCTGATGAATTTAACAGTGAAAAAAATACAGAAACACAGAGAACAATGGGCGATGTTGAAATAACATGGAGGTAAAATTAGTCAATAAGCAGACTTTTGACAAATACGGAAGAGGATTAGATGTGTGGGGAAAAAAATACTGTTCAGACATAATCTACAATCCAATTTCCTATTGTGTAACTGGACATGAGATCTACTCTCTGCTCTTATAGCTCTCATTTGGAAAAACATTTTTTTTAATGTATCACACAGTGTGCAGCCAAACATTTACAAAAACACACCATATTCACAAACACACACATGTGCAATACACGTGTCTAAAATGAAGAGTTATATTTAAAATTACTGACTACACGATATATTAAATATTACTCAGCCCTTAAACACAATACTAAAATTTTATGTTACATTACTTATCAATCTCCCATAAGGTTTATATTTTAAATGCCATTCTGGTGGTGCATGTCTTTGATCAACAAAGTACCTTGATATTCTGTATACTCCTGCTGTTCTGTAATATCAAATAAACATGAAAATGAAACATGAAAATAAATCAAACATATCAAAATCTTTAACAGATACAGAGAAACTTGGCATTCAGTCCTCAGTAATCCTTATGTTCTTTGTCTTTCTCCTGCTCTGGTGACAACATTTTCTATCCTTTAAAAAAAAACGGATAAAGAAGTATGTGTTTTGAATGACTGAAGGTTTTGATTTGGGAATTAAACTTTTATAAATATATATATATATATATATATATATAGTGGCTTATTACAAGGATCACGTACAGTGGTGTTTGAAAGTCTGTGAACCTATTGGAATTTTCTATATTCTGCATAAATGTAACCCCAAAAAAATCATCAGATTTTCATGCAAGTCCTGAAAGTTGACAAGAGAATCCACTCAAACAAATGAGATGAAAATATATACTTTATCATTTATTTATTCAGGAAAATGATCTAATATTAAATATCTGTGAGTGGCTCTCTAGGATTAGCAGTTCATTTGAAGGTGAAATTAGAGTCCATCTGTTCAGAGGTGTTTTCAGTCAGTGGGATGACTATCAGGTGTCAGTGTGCGCCCTGTTTTATTTTGAGAACAGGGATCTATCACAGTCTGATTAAGTGAATCATGGCACAAACAAAGGAGATCCCTGAGGACCCCAGAAAAGAGTTGCTGTTGCTCATCAGGGTAGAAAAAGTTACAAAGCCATCTCTAAAGAGTTTGGACTCCACCAATCCACAGTCGGAGAGATTGTGTACAAATTCAAGACCACTGTTACCCTCCCCAGGAGTGGCCGACCAACAAACATCACTCCAAAAGCAAGACACATATAATAGTCTGTGAGGTTGCAAAGGACCCCAGGGTAATTTCTAAGCAACTAAATGCCTTTCTCACATTGGCTAATGATAATGTTCATGAGTTCACCATCAGGAGAACACTGAACAACCATGGTGTGCACGGCAGAGTTGTAAAGAGAAAGCCACTGCTCTCCTAAAAGATCATGTGGACAAGCCAGAGGGCTATTGGAGAAATGTTTTGTGGATGGACGGTGATAGCATCATGGTTTGGGCCTGTTTTGCAGCATCTGGGAAAGGACGGCAGAGTTGAAGCAGTTCTGTACTGAGGAATGGGCTAAAATTCCTGCATCCTCAGGACATCTGTCCATGAACTGAATCTCAAGAGAAAGTGGGTCATGCAGCAAGACAACGACCCCAAGCACACAAGTCGTTCTACCAAAGAATGGTTAAAGAAGAACCAAATTAATGTTTTGAAATGGCCGAGTCAAATTCCGGACCTTAATCCAATTGAAATGTTGTGGAAGGACCTGAAGCAAGCAGTTCATAAGAGGAAACCCACCAACAATATCACAGAACTGAACCAGTTCTGTACTGAGGAATGGGCTAAAACTCCTGCAAGCGGTTGTGCAGGACTGATCAGCAGTTACAAGAAACATTTAGTTGCAGTTATTGCAACTAAAGTGGGTCACACCAGATACTGAAAGCAAAGATTCACATACTTTTGCCGCTCATGCAACACTGGATAATTTTTCTCAATAAATAAATGACAAATTATCCTTTGTTTGATTGGATTCTCTTTGTCTACTTTCAGGACTTGTGTGAAAATCTGATAATGTTTAGGGTTATATTTATGCAGAAATATAGAAAATTCTAATGGGTTCACAAACTTTCAAGCAGCACTGTAACAGCATTTACTGTATCAATATGACACCAATGTACTTTATTACCATACTATTATTGAAACCAAATCAAAGGTTATCAATTTTCTTAACATTATTACATTACTCAAAAATATTGTAGAAAGTTTACATTTTGCCAATCATTACTTACTTCAGCAATCCACTTCTCTTCTATTTCTATTCCTCTTGTATTATGTATTACAAATCCTCAAGTACTTTGTCTAACATAAACATCAAGCCAAATATGTTTACTTTCATCTCACTTGAGAATTACATGAAAATATGAACTAGAGAACTGTTGCTTATTTTCATATGCCTTTGTAGACCATGAAGCTTCAGTACATCACAAATGATGATTGCAGATGCAGAGGTGCAGCTTTAATTTGACAGATTATTTCAAGTTCATTTTGATACAGATGTGACCACAAGTAATGCTGCCTGACTGCGTTGTAAAGTTGTTTAATTTAGTGGTCTTGTTTCCCAGAAATATTTTTCCCATAAGGATGTTTTCATCTTTTTAAGTCTTTATTAAAGCGTTATAAGCCAGGAACCAAACCAAACAGTTACGAGGTGAATCACAACATTACAAACTTTGATTTGAAGCAAAAAAGTATTTAAAAATCAGAACAAAAAGACAAAGGTCTGTCTATGACATAATCGAAATAAAAATGGATACATGTAAAATTATTGATTTAATTACTGAATTATTGCAAATTCATTTACTGTTAAGCAAGATTTAAAATTAAGTTAAAATAATGTAGGCTCATGGCTTCAACAGAAGCATATACTGATTCACCACCCCATAGCTTAGAACCCAATTTTTGAACTCTATTAGTTTTTCGTGGACCAGTTATGAACATAATCGGTGGAAATAATGTCAAAACAGTGATAAGTCAGTCAGTGTCTGATTGAAGCTCCACTTCCTGTTATGTGACTTTGTGCTGAATTTTACAGCTACTCCCTCACTTTCACACTTTTTCGGCTGGTGTTGCTCTCGATCAGTATTGCTTGAGTAAAATAACTGCATTACATACTCTCTCATAATTTGTAGTATTTATTTTTGTATGGCCTATTATTTTCTCATCAACTTTAAAGAGACATTGTTTTGAACTCTTGAGGAGGCATTATTTTACCTGCTCCTGCATCCTCTGCATCCTCTTCCTCCTCTGCTTCTCACAAGTACACAAGCCACAAGATGATGAAGGAAAGGAAAACATAAGTAAACATCAATTCTGTGCCCAAGAGAGCACGTGAGGACAATCAGGAAAGAATATGAGTGTGTATATAAATAAGTGTGTGCAAAGGATTATGTAAGTGTACACCATTTGTTAGGGATGTATGCCAACTGCAACATGAGATCAGTCTGTAAGAATAACCCTTCCAGGAAAAGGCATTGTGCCAAGCCTAAGCACCCAATCAGACTCATGCATAGCTCTATGAAGCCAGCTGAAGCTCAGGAGGGTCTCTAAAGGCATCTATAACTGGCCTCTGGGTACACATTATGCCAAGGATTTACTGATAATCGCTAAAGCTAAAGTTTCAAAGGGCAAGAAAATAAAGAAAAAAATACAGAGTAAAATATACAGGCAAAAAATAAAGAACAATTCTACTCACCCTCTGCTTGTTCCCTAACAGGCCATTTAGAAAAAGAAAGGAAAATGAATGAGTAAACATCACAGTAAATTAGGGCTATGCAATTAATCGCATGCGATTGTCACGCGCATCTCGACAGTAAAAGTAATGATTTATTAGTCCAATAATCAGTAATGATAGAAAGAAAAACAAAAACATTACTCACTCATATTCCTCCTCTACATCAGACATGGTGAAACTGGATCAGAGAAGGAGGAAAAGAAAGCGAGAGTGAGACAGTACAAGGAAAAATAGCAGATCCACATAGCTTAGCATTTCGTAATAGCTTTAGGAAGAGGATGAGAGAGCAGGAGAGAGTGACAAAGCCAGCATCAGATCTAAATCATTCCATTGTCCCAAAGCGCTGACATCTGATTGAATGCTTCATATGAAGACTGATGGGGTGAGAACAGGTGGGAATGTGCAGACAAAGACAGGGTGAGAAACTATTTCTGACACTTTCTTTGTTCGGTTCTTCCATTTCCCTTGCACTTTACCACAGTTTCTGACATGCTCTTTTCTCATTTTGTCCTCTGAGAACAAGAAGCACCTAGTTCTGTTTTGCACAGCTAGTAAGTGGACAACGCAGCATGTAATCTTGTGAGCAAACTGCTGTGTACCTGGCCTTGCTTGTTTTCCCTAACTGGAAATTCTGGATTTGATTGCAGGAATTGCAGTTAATGACTATACAATGTTTGATTGCAGTCATTAACATTCCGCTGCCAGATTCCTCTCCCTGTGCCTCATCTTTCACATCAGAGTCATATCATAACTACTATTTGAAACAATTTTATAGCTACAGTGTCATCGCCAGAGAGAATTTATGAGGCATGTAGCTGTCACCACCCCTCTTGTACTTTACTGTCTCTGGACAAAGGCTTGCAAGCACATGCAGTGCCCATCTAAAACCAGCGTCCTTTCAACAGTTTGCCCTGCTTTTACTTTGCTAATGAGATTCTCAGCATCTAAAGAGCATGAGTCTGGCAAATTCTGCACAAAATGATCAAATTACAAAAGGAAGATACCACTCGCTCTGGATCGAACCAAGTAGGGATAGACACAAGAAACAACAGGATGAGAAAGTGGCAGACAAAGAGGGCGTTTGAGGGGCATGTAGGTTATGGAAGGTCATAGCGGCATTAACCACAATATTCTGACGGGTTCATTTTAGCCAAGGACCCAGGGGGAGTTTACATGAGTTACGGCAAATCTTTATGGCTCTGAAAGTGAATTTTATTCATAGTTCCATCAAGTCATCATTTGGTCAAGGACATCATCAAACACTACACAAAACAGTACAGACTATACTACAGGCAATTAAGCCAGGAAGACGTATGCAGGTTATGGCCATCATTGGAGAACTACACTGTTCTGCTCATAGTTACTTAATTACATCTATTTTGGAGTCCTAAATGAGTACACATGTCTGGTACAGGACACTAAAACACAATAATGGATGAAACTAACATTATTATAACTGCACATAAAAACTGAAAATCAACAGACCTTCTGCTTTCATAATAATTTTTTAAAGATTCACTGAATTATACTGAAAATTCAATTACTTTTCTCCATATGGGAAGAACTGACTGAAAATGCAATTGTTTTAGAAGTAACAAAAAGACTTTTACCGTTTGGTGATGGTAGGATGGGTTCACAGTGGAAAAGGAAGAAACACTGGCACACAAAGAATGAGGGGAGAGTCCCCGTGAATTATGAGAGCTTTGTAATGCGGGACAATGGGTTGTTTTTATATGAGGACAGGGACAGATGGAGGGTGTTAGCAGCTACGGCATAGGACCATGGATGGATTAGATATGAACTCTGGGACAGAAAGATGACCATCATGAGGGATTAGGGGAGACAGGGGGAATGACCTCACACAACAAACACAGGGATATAAAAAGAGACAGAAAAAACAAAGGGCCAGTTGGGAACAAAAATAGCACAGTGGATTTAGACACAATTCTTACTAGAAGACATATTTTCTATTTGACCCAATGTAAAATAAGGTAATGGCTAAGACAACTTTGAGGTAAATGGATGGGCTCTCATTTCTTACAAGTATTGTCCAGGAATATAAAATAAAGTTTTGGTTGTCCTTCTACCTTTCTTTATTCAGATAATTAGCCAAAATACTAACCCTGCAGATAGCTGATTAGAAAGTTGATTGAAGTTGCAGTAGATGGGAAAGTTGCTGATCCATGCAGTGAGGTCCAAGGCAACATGTTCTGCTCGCACAATTGTTGCTTTGTTCGAAAATTACTTGGCCTTTGTTGGCTGGATGGCAATACAACAGACTTTAATAGATTACGATTCAGTTATTTTGTTGTAAAGGGAAATCTTTTACCAGCAGATTACAATAGCTTTGAGTCTTACAATGGTCACTTTATTTTCTTTCTGTGAACATGAATCACTAACATATTTTTCTAGTCAAACATAGTTTTATTGAAGAACATGTATTTATTTATTTAGAACGAGTCATTTTTTCTTGAATTAATATTTGGTTTATAGTCCTTACAGTCTGTTTAGATCGCTCACAGATTTGTACAATTGGTGGACATTTATTCTAATCAATGCCAGTTCAGTGGTTCTCCAGCTCTTTTTAAAAGTCGAGTTTCTCTAGGCTGCTTTTCAAGCCATACTTCAAGAATACTAACCTTTTTTTCCATGTGACTTTACTAGAACATGCCGAATTTGCTTCTATTCACATTTCAGTTTTTGCCATTTGACATCAACAAACTCTCAACATAACAGTCTTTCTCAAAAATGTCTTTCTTTGCTGTTTAAAGGATACAGTTCTATAATAATCCCTGGCAGAAGGTAGAGGGCAACAAAGAATACATCGTCAGAAATGTATTATACACCTCTAAAAAGAATAACATTTATATTATATATATAACATTTATATAATTAGTTACCGATTAAATCTTATTGAGCAACACGCATAACACTTTCTGTATACAAAATGAAGAAGTTTATTATGAAATAACAGCCTTGCAATAGTTTTTATGAAGACGCTACTGGCATGGTCACTGTGAGCGTCTGAAAAGGAAACAGGAAAAGACTGTATGAGACATACTGCAAATCTGCACCAGCACAAATATAATGGGGTCAAAGAGCGGTAATTGTGTACCGTTTAAAAAAGACCATACAAAAAAACTTTAAATGGGCAAATTATGCTATGCTTACTTACCTGTGTATTTGTGTTGAACTGGGCAACACTTTTTTCTTGGTCAATAAGCAGGGGAAAGAAAATATCCAAGTGGAAAAGAGGAGGTTGAGCAACCAGCACTAGTCTGTCCTCTCCCAAATCCAGAACAAGAGAGCGAGCAGATATCTAGTGAGGAAGACAGTCAAGCCTAGAATCTCGTACTGTGTGTTAACATGTGCTTGAACGTAGTCCAAAACCAGGCCTCCATTAACTCACCACTCCAGGTAGCAGAATCTCAGCGATCAGATGCTCTGCATTTCCAGATGGGGGCTCCACTAATAAACTGAACTCTGGACTGGAGTATGAAGCACAATGAAGGCATAAATTATTAAGTTACAGGTAAAGTTCTGCCTCACAATAACCAATTATATATCACATTTAACACAACAAATGAAGGCAAAACAAAGTCTTAGTACTCATCCCTGGTTTGTCAAACATAAGTGAAAGCAAAACACATTTGAAAGGGAAACACCAAACAATTTACAAATGCATTAAGAAAACCTCCAAATAAACGTACCGTTTGGTTGATGAAGGAAAGGAGTCAGATTGCCTGTCCACAAAGAACAAAGTGATTAGAGGAATTCCAGTTATAGCTACTCAGCAGGTCAACAATCAATGGGATCAGGTGCAGAAAAGAGCAATGAGCCGCAGAGGCATATGTTAACAGTGAACTGCACATACTGACAACTCAATCACTAAGTTGAAGTCGACAACTCAATCACTAGGGGAAGTCGTAGGGGAAGTCGTGGCCTAATGGTTAGAGAGTTGGACTCATAACCCAAAGGTTGCGGGTTCGAGTCTCGTACCAGCAGGGATGGTGAATGTACAGCGCTGTCTCCCACCTTCAATACCACGACTGAGGTGCCCTTGAGCAAGGCACCGAACCCCCAACTGCTCCCCAGGCACCGCAGCAAAAATGGCTGCCCACTGCTTCGGGTGTGTGTTCACGGTGTGTGTGCACTTTGGATGGGTTAAATGCAGAGCACTAATTCCTAGTATGGGTCACCATACTTGGCCACATGTCACGTCACTTTCACTAATCACATGACACATACACACAGTAACAGACAGGCAAAGTGTCACTGACAACTAGGAACAGGTCCAGACAGAATGTGTATGGGATCAATTGTCTGCCAAAAGTATTGCAGTTACGGACAAAAAAATAATAAGCGTGAAACCAAAATTTAAAAACGGAAGTAAAAATATATAGCACAAAATTTAAAAATGAAAGCGACGTTTTCAGAATTTCAATCAAAAATTTTACGCATTACAAAATAAGCATGAATCAAAAATCAAAACATTTAAAATCATATTGAAAAAAAACTTAAATATTAATGAAAAATTATCCGACTTGCACACAAAATCGTGTTTTCCTTGGTTATATTTCCCTGTTTTTTTGTGCTCTCAGACATTTTCTGCTCATATTTAGATTTTTTTTTGTATTCTTATGCTGTTTTTCACGCTCTTCTTCTTCTTGGTTTTTAACGGCGGCTGGCAACCAGTGTAATTGGTGCTTGACCAATTCGCTCTTGTTTCCATGTTTTGCGCTTGCCTTTCGCAAAGTTGCGGTTAGAGTTTCATGTAAATCAGGGTGGGCTTAAGCATCATCATTGGTCCACTAGTTCTAGATTGACAGCTCCTCCTCAGCTAATCAGTCGAAGAGGGGACCTGACGTCAATATGTCACTCATTAGCTGCTGATGCTCAGTGTTCACTTGTACAGGTGAAGATGGATAACCATCAGCTGGGATAACATCTTTCCATAGGACACCATTATATGTGTCTACCTGTCAATATATGATTTATATATGTCAATATGATTTTAAAAGTTTAGTTTTGATTCATGCTTATTTTTTTTTAAATGTGTTTGCGCTTGTTAATTTTCAATCTGTGACCATTGTTTGCTATTCTTAAAATTTTGTGCAATATATTATTACTTGCATTTTTAGATTTTGATTTCATGCTTATTTTTTTTTTATCTGTGACTGCAATATTTTTGATGGAAAATTGATCCCATAAATGTGGCAGTGATTTCTGAACAAAATTGGCAGCATTCTGTGAACGGTGACTTCACCTTAATATGTGTTAAAGGGGTCATATGAGTATTAAAGGGGTCATATCATGTTGCTAAAAAGAACATTATTTTGTGTTTTGATGTAATGAAATTTGTCTATGAAGTTTAAGGTTCAAAAAACACATTATTTTCCACATACTGTACATTATTGTTTCTCCTCTATGCCCCGCCTTTCTGAAACGCGTCGATTTTTACAAAGCTCATCGGTCTGAAAAAGCGAGGTGTGCTCTGATTGGCCAGCTATCCAGTGCGTTGTGATTGGCCGAATACCTCAAGCGTGTGACGGAAATGTTACTCCCCTTACCATACTGTGATGCCGTCCGGCCGGAGCGACAAGACAACAACATTAAAACCCATTATAAACGAGGCATTTGTTGCATCCAGTGGGGACATAATTACTGATTATAATGCCTTATACTGTCTTTTTACGCGTTGCGTTGCATCGCGCCGCGTAAACATAAAACTGTGTCTGCATTTGTGATCAGAGAAATGACAAACAACAAGTGCTACTCTACACTGCTCAAAACTCGCGTTTGAATCATCAGTGGCAAATCCTTTAAATGAAAACGTACTTACGTGAGTCAGAACTGCCATTTTAGTCTAACGTTACTCTCCCAGGATCAGTAAACAGTCCTCCATAAAATGTGCTGCACACATCTGAATATTTGGGTTGAAGTGTTCTGGAACAGTGTTGTAAATACAACTTAACCACTGATTTCTAGTCGTGTCCTCTTTTGGAAGACCAAACAAAGTAGCTTCACTTTCACAACGAAACACACAGGCGGGCCTGAGTGAGCGGCGGAGGGCTTGAGAACAGCGCGTCCGGCGGGCTTGCGGCAACCACATGTGACGACCCCGGGCTGGACTCCGCTTCGTCCGCGGTGAAAGCCGATCCGGCGATCCACAGCGCGAAGTTGATGTATTTCCTCAGCGACCAGCACGGATCAGCTCTAGGCATGACGAAGCGGATATCGTCCTCTTTTGGAAGGCCAAACAAAGTAGTTTCGCTTTCACAACGAAACACACAGAACACAAACACACACCATCAGCTGGTTCTTGTTCTTGACGACATGGCGGCAGCAACAATAAAGTTACGCCTTCTTTCTTTGCGTGAACATTTGGGCGGCGTTATGCAAATCTTCCCAGATAGTGACGTAGACATGTGGGGGCGTGTTAGAACGAGCCGTTTTAGGTAGGCGTGGTTGACTCTTAACTTTTATAAAGAATATCTCTTTGGATTTGAGACTTTAGTCTTTGCAACTTTACAGATCTTCTTTATGCACCAAGAGCTTGTAACACTCCAAAGAGAAAGGAAAAACTGAAATCGCATCATATGACCCCTTTAAAATCTTATTGGTAGCATTAGAAAAAATATTAATCAACCAAACACACAAGGGGCTTGAGATGTGAGATAATTATTCCATGGAATTTTTCAACAGCTGAACTGTAATATACCACTTATGCATTCAAACTGTTGTTACTATAGACCAGGGGTGGCGAACTCCAGTCCTGGAGAGCCGCAGCCCTGCAGAGTTCAGCTCCAACCATAATTAAAACTCACCTGCCTGTAGCTTCCTAGTAACCCTTCAGACCTTGATTAGCTTGTTCAGGTGTGTTTGATTAGGGTTGAAGCGAAACTCTGCAGAGCTGCGGCTCTCCAGGACCGACGTTCGCCACCCCTGGTATAGACTGATGAATAACCAATAAATCAGTGAACGTCAAAGTAAAGTATAGAAATCCCACCCTTTCTTCAGGCACACTGAGCTGATGTCAAGTATGAACAACTATCCATTGTGTTACAATGCTGTATAACCCAACATGTTTGAACATTGCTAGAGGGTCTTCTGTTGTAAGAAAGCTGAAACTGAAAACTTTGCTTTTCAAAAGTCTAAAAGGGAAGTCTAAATACATGCATTAAAAAAATGAATAGATGTAAATAAATAAATAAGAAATGGCACACTTTTCTGATTCTGTGTCTGGGTGAGTATTTTTCATACATGAAGCCATTTCCCCTAATAAGAGTAAAAGTCATTTCTTGTTATTGTTATTTCAATTGTTATTTCCTCAGCAACACTGTCAGGATGTTTTGATTCACCTACTGGAATGACTACTTGTTTCTTTTTAGAACTGTTCCATTCCATTTCAAATAAATACATCTGTGTTGATGCTTAAAACCCAGCACGACGGACAGAGCACCAAGTGGACAGAAGCTCATTCCAGCAATGATACGCCCACTAGGTTGATTTTACTGCCACGGACAGATTTGTCTGATGCTGGGAAAATAAACATTGTGGCTGCAAATGGCAACAAACTGCTTTAAGCAAAATTCATCCCTTTGCAATACTGATCCAGAAATGTCAGCCCATTTCAGTTGTTTTTTTCTTGTTGGGTTCAGAAGCAAGTCACCTTATTTAACAATCATACCATAATTAACGGAGGTTTTGTAGTATTTTATAAATATTTTTTGAAAACAAAATAATTCTAGTTTCTACAAGGTCAGACAATATTTGTTCAATGGCTGATGCCAATACTGATATCTAGAAAACAGAAAACTAGAAAAAAAATTATTCTACACAAAATTTACTTACATTTCACAAAGAAACTGAAATCTCAAATTGTTTACTCATCTACTGACAAAGCTGTTTGCAGAATGTCACTATTTTAGCCAATTTGATACTAAATACAATGTTCAAATACACATCTAATAAAACTTTTTTATTATGTTTATTTTCATAGTAAGATTTTTCAAATATATATCGATTCTCAAATATTTTCAATACTCATTTTTCGCAGGTTTGATACACAGATGCCAGTTGTGCTTTCTCACGCTCTCTTCAAATCGATAGAGTAGTGAATGCAGCAAACCCCATTACTTCATGTGCTGTAAGTTCAACATGCATTTGATACGGTATACGGGGTAACCAATGTATTTCTGCTTTTCCATAAGCGGCATGTGCTTTTTACAAAACCTTTTGTTTTTGTCAAAACTTTAATAACTGTTAACTGTAAAGTTGTTTAAATCGCTGTTATATAGCTTTACTGTCATTTTACAGTTTAGGATTTTACCATAGACATTGGTGTTAACATGTCATTCTGTTCTAACATCTGAATTTTCTGAAACAATTAAACTGCTGCTTCCAATAAATTAGTAGGCTTCTTAATGAGTATTATTTGTTTCAGATTACCCCCCCTCCTCCTCCTCCTTCTCACAACCTGATTGAGCACCACCCCCAATCACCCCAAAGTGACAAAGAACTCACTTTGAGTCAATTTCCTGGATAATTGGCTTACTCTTGGTACGGATGTTTTGTTCTGCTATAGAGCCCATGAATTTCCTGTTCTTCAAAACCTTAATATCTGGGGGGGAAATGACATGACAGGATCAATGGACATGATATGGAAGAGGCATTTTCTGAACTAGACAGATGCAGAGTAGGGTCAGAAATTAATGGTGGCTTGGGGCAAAAATCCCACCAAAATGAACAAAATGCCCCACCAGATTCAAGATAAGATGGGCAAAATTATGCCCCTGCACAATTAAGCTATTTATTATGTCACAATTAAAGTGAAATGTGAAATGAATAAAGTGTCGAATGTGGCATTACATTTACAGTAGATTTGCTCATGTTGCATAAGATTTCTTTTTATGCATGTTTTGCAGCGTTGAGCATTATAACCAATCACTCTCGTGTCTGTTGAGCTCATTATCATAAGAAAAGATGTAAGATTACTTTTGTTTAGTCTAGATTTTCCAATCTGTAAAATGAAATAAACAAATTCATAAACAGTTCTTAGCTTGTTTTGTCTGTAGCCAGAATATGACCTGCTTTTCCCCCACAAAAAAATAAATAATTAATTAATTTAATTTAATTAAAAAAACTTAATAATCATTACAATAACAAGAGCAATAAGCATAATGCAGCTTCACCCTCTAATGAATTCCTCTTTTTTTTTTTCTAGGCTATTTTAATTGCAATTTTTGTGTAAATACATGTACATGTGCAGCATTAAACTCTCTGTGTAAATGGAAATTAATTCCAGGCAGCAAATATTGCCCCTTAATGGAAAAGTTAATTTCTGACCCTCATGCAGAGTAATAAGTATCAGATGTGCTGTATTTAGTCTGACCTCTGCTCAACTCAAGGTTGTATTTGTTTTCCAGTCCTTCCAAAGAAACTGCAATAAGAAACTGCTGGAACAGGGTATCTTTCTGTTGGGTGCAAACATATACAGTGATAGCCATGAATGCAGTCACATATTTCTGAGGTACTTTCAGTGCATACCTTCACATACAAGACACACACCTGACATTTCTGGAAGAACTCATCGTTGATCACGACATCATACACAGTACAGCCTTGTGAGCCTGGCAAACATAAGGATATTTTGAATGCAAATCTACTTCCTTTCATTCATTGTAGCTTAAGGTGTCGGTTTTGCCATTCACATTTAATGACGCCATTTGGAACAGTTATTTCCTTTTGGTTATTTCCTTGCTTTTTGGTGATTTGTGTCAACCAGATTAGACTATGCCTTGATTTAAAACAATATATTTCAGTTTGGATTATGGAAACGATAATAAAAGGCAAATGGAGTAAATGTGAAAATGTGAATGTCTCTCACTGTTGTCCACTTCTGTATGCGGCTCGCCGAGACTCATGGGCACTCTGTAACTCGTCGGGTCCTCTGACTCCAGTAGATCCACGAGTGCTTCCTGGGACAGATGAGGAGGGGGCGGTACCGCCTGTGACTGACAGATATTCAGAAAGACCTTCTTTTTGTCTGACACTGAGAAGGTCTTCACACACATGCCTGGCATAAAGCAGATATATACAGACAAATTCAGACAGGTTTAATTACATAATAAACATAAACACCACCAATGTCTCCAAATATAATGTCCTGAGTCCTGAGAAAGTGTTTGTAAAATATGAGTCTAACCTGGTTGTGGACAGATGACTTTGGAGGGGGGATTTTCGCTTTGCACTTTTCCCATGGTCTGTAAGGTTGGATAAAACAAATAATGTTTTTGTCTTAAACTAGCTCTCCAACTGGGTTTAGTGACCAAAGGACATGAAATTTAATTTACCGTTTCAGAGATATACGTTTTCATTTGTACATTCGGTAGATGGCTTTATGCATTAAGGGACTTATGACACATACAGGGTGGGAAAGGAAAGAAAATAATAAAATTCTACATATTGTCTGAAATGTAATGCAAAACTAGAATACTCTGTGCTTAGGATGGAAAAGTGGGCTTAAGGCTGGAATACACCACACGATTTTAGCCTGATTTACAATCTGGAGAAGTTGACACTAGTTGCCGAAAGTCAGAGCCAGTCTGCAGATTTGAGTAGACAGATTTGATAGAAAATCACGTAGTTTGATGGTTAGAGACTTTTTTAGCTTCAGACTTTGATTCCATCCAGTTGGAGGATATCAAACATGTTTAAAGGGGTACTATTATGCTCTTTTACAAAGTCTTGATTTTGTTTTGGGGGTATACTAGAACAGGCTCTCATACTAGGCTGTTAAAAAAAATACATCATTTTTTACATATTTTACATTATGACGGCTCGAATAGTTCCTGTATCAAATGAAGGCCCGCCTTCTGAAATACGAAATGTGCTGTGATTGGTTAGCTGGGTCAGTGTGTGTTGTGATTGGCATTGTAGTTTTTGAAAAGTGATTTCTGTTCAATAAAATATCTCCTTTTGAAGTGGACTTTGAGCTTTGTAACTTTGCAGATCTATTTATGCTCAAACAGCAACATTACAGACTAACTAAAGTTGAAAAAGTGAAAAAGCATAATAGGACCCCTTTAAACAAACATGTTACCTGCATGACTAATAAAAATAACAAAGGAGACATTGGATCTCCTTGTTTGAGATCCAAAGTTATGTAGGTAGTGTGTGATCCTTGGTCGTTTAGTGTGTGATGGCCGGTTTTTACAAAGTCAGTAAGTGTATGATGCCTAGTGTTTTAAAATCTGTTCTGTTTTTAAAGTCGTGTAGTGTATTCCCACCTTTAATCAGATAATTCAGACTGCAGAATCCATAACCTTTCTGTCTGGGATAGTTCGCCCGAAGATTAAACATTTCCTTTTTACAATCTGGACCTCACACAGCTATTGTATGATGCCAGAAGAGTATGCATATACTGTATAAGTTATATGGGCTACTATATGGTAATTGTTTTGGTGAAAATGGTTATTAGGCAGAAAGTCAAGTGACTGACAAACTTAGTCATCATACATTTCATTCATTTCCATATAAAAAATGTGACTGAAGGTGATGATACACGATGCAACTTTTTGAGCAATGTTGCCGTAAACGGGCAACCAGGTGAGACACAGGGCCCACGGCCGATCTAAAGTATCCAGATAGAAATTTGTTGCCCATTCTCAATGGGAAAGTGCCCAAGCAACATTGCTCAAAAAAGTTGCCCTGTGTGTCATCACCTTAGATCTGTCAGTCCCTAACCTCTAACCCCCCTAATCTCCTTATGTGTTTTGCAGTAGACAGCCAGTAATACAGGTTTGTAACAAAATAAGGATGAGTAAATGATGACAGCATTTTCATTTTCGAGTGAACTATACCTTTAAATGTGCATTTTTGTTTCACATGAAACGAAACGTTTATTGTGACAGTCCACTTTTAAAGTGTAATGATATATCTATATCTGGGAACTGCTTCGAAATATAGTACTTACATTATTACTTACATAATACTTATATACTGTATATAATGTTTTAGCTGCGCTGTGTCAAAGAGGTTAACGTTACCTGAAGCAAACATTGTTGATACAGCCCTTCTTGCTGTTTCTGCTCTAGTTCAACGCCGAGGAGAGACGCGTCTGTTTCCATGACTACACACGTGGGGTACAGGACAAATCAGCACATTTTATAATGACACACAACACAAAAAGTTGAAGTATGTAATCTGAACAGCTATCTATGTAAAGTGTCATGGAGTGCACAGACACAAACGCTTTGCTAAACTGCTAACGTATGAAGATGAACTAAAAGCTCGCGTTACACGCGCGCTTAAGAATGCAGAACACGCGGATATGAAACCAAATAGCATGTTTGCAGAATGACATACTCACTGAGCGACTTAGACATTCAATAAAATATATGTAATAATCATATCAGTATGTGCTGTTTAGCATGACGTTAGCGCAGCCTTTGTTGTAGGTGTCAAAATAAAAGTACCTTGCTTAGATTGACGGCTCCGGACACCACTATGGTAGGTGCCTGATTTAATTAAATAAAAAGTAATACAAAAGAAACAGAAAGCATTTCAACGCTTCTTTTTCCAGTTAAGGCAAAAACAATGTTTTATTTTATTTATTTATTTTTAAATCAATTTTTAGGTTTCAGGCTATATTTAACTATTTTAACTTTGTACAGATGATTCTCAATGTTATATGAAAGATATGATTTGATATACTATTTTAACAGTTGTAACAGAATGATTTGATATACTATTTTACTTTATGCAATATCCGTGTAAAATATCCATAAATTTGTTTTCCCATTCTATGCAAATTATCTATACATTGTATCTAATTTGCATATTAATGTGTTCTTGGTGCAACATGTAATGAGAAAAGAAGTGTAACAATGGAAGTAAAAACTTCGCAACATTTTCATAAGAAAGTAATATTTCATAGGAATATTGATCTATAATTTTGCTCCCTATTGACTTCTTGTATATCCTCAAAATGCCTGATTAAAATGATGTTTGTCCAAAAGTCTGACTTGCTGATTTGAAACCCCATAATGTATTCCTGGGATGTTTACTGACAAACAGTTTGAAAATTAGCCAGATATAAATAACTAGGGGAAAAACTTAGTCAAGATAAACGTTAAGTTGTCTTGAAAGAGCCTAGCCTGAAAGTTTTAAGTAGCTGTAATGTCAGGGATCCATGAAAGAATAGGACTTAAGTGCAGAATGAGTGATAACGGGTTTATCGACAAGACGAGAGATTGAGAGAGAGGAGGTGAACAGTCCAAACAATAGGCAGGTACGAGGCACAATGACAGGCAGTCTGAGAAAGCGGCCCCGGAGTCCAGCCCAGGATGGTGGTGGGTTAGAGAGCTGCGAAGGAATGGTAGTGCAAGACTGGGGAAAACAGCGAGGATCAGGCAGGATCACACAGCACAAGAGAAAGTGTTCAGAGAGGCTCAGCCTGCAGGACAGGGCTGGAACAGACAAGAGACACAACAAACATGACAGACAGAAACAAAAGCGAAGCAATAACTAGAAACACTATAAAGTAGAAACCTGATAAAGAGATCCTAGGAATAATCCAGAGGAACTAGTAAAAGAAAAGGCAAAAAGCAAACTACTAAAGGAAAGCTAAAGGGAAAACTAAATACAAGTAAACTAAAAGCTCAAGAGAAAACTGAGAAAATTAAGGGAAAATACTAAACAATAGCCAGGATACTCAGGAACAGAGGAATGAACAAAGCACAACAAGGATTGGCAGGCAAGATCTACAAGTAAATACAAAGAAGGTCCACTACTGACTATTTAACAGCAAATAACTATTACATAGCAAAGTGTATAACAACAAAGAAAACATGAGGGCAAGAGAACACACTATTAAGGGAGCTGAGAACATGAGGAACAGGTGAGCACACTCAGGCAAATGAGGACTCAATAAGGATGAAAGAAGGAGGCAGGACCAGAGGAGCACATGGCCAAAACAAAGACAGAGCCATGCACTCAGTCACAAGACAAACAAAGAAACATTGAACCATGATAAGTCAGACAGAACTGTCAGAGGAGAACCCTGAGATGTAAAAGCTTGAAGTTTGAAACAATTATAAAGAGCGAAAGTTAGATAGACAGACAGACAGACAGACCGATGATTTGACATGTTCATAACATAGTTAGCACGTTGCCAACATGATTTGAACATTGCTAACATGATTTACCATTAATTAGCATGTTGTTAGCATGATTTAACATATTGCTAACATGTTTTAACATTAGGTGTGTTCGACTTAAAGCGGAGCATTGCTGATACGCGTATCGATACGGATGCTTCTGTATTGATACAGCAGCAAATGGCATGATGCAGTTTTGAAAAAGAAACACAGAACAGAAAAGACCATTTTAAATTTAAAAGTTCAAGAATTTTTTTCTTTGCACCTCTCAATAAATCTGGCTTGTATTATATTCATTGTAAATTCAAATCAATTTCAGATACTAATAGATATTTCACATTTATTATTTCTTGAATTCCTGCATAATTACATGCATAAAGAAATATATGTTAGATCAGTTACCCTTGTCGGCAAGTGTGCAGCAGACACACCCACCTAAACAATTTCAATATATCGCTTATCCTGCCCAAAAAGACCATAAACATTGCAGATAAGATCTGAAGTAAAAATTTATTTACATACACATATCTTAAAAACTAATCCCATGTGACTGATATGCTTCAAATCAGGTGATTATGATGCTCTCTGCCGGTAGGGAATAGTAAAATGGCGGCTCAATCACTTCCAGTGTCTTCACAGCAGAATGGCAGTTTAGAAGAAAGCAATGAGCAATCCAGTCATTATAGAGATCAGTGGGCATCTGCGGTCTCAGAGAAATTCAGTAAAATATAATGTTCTCTACAGAGGACAAAAGACTATGCCTGGATCCCGGAGGATATAGTAGGGACCACATACCACTTCTTGGTAATGAAGACAAAGACTATATAGTGACTATAGTATAATGAACATGTCATTCAGTTTTTTTAATGATAACTTTTTAGTGCCATTAGCAGACACACCCACCTAAACAATTTCAATATATCGCTTATCCTGCCCAAAAAGACCATAAACATTGCAGATAAGATCTGAAGTAAAAATTTATTTACATACACATATCTTAAAAACTAATCCCATGTGACTGATATGCTTCAAATCAGGTGATTATGATGCTCTCTGCCGGTAGGGAATAGTAAAATGGCGGCTCAATCACTTCCAGTGTCTTCACAGCAGAATGGCAGTTTAGAAGAAAGCAATGAGCAATCCAGTCATTATAGAGATCAGTGGGCATCTGCGGTCTCAGAGAAATTCAGTAAAATATAATGTTCTCTACAGAGGACAAAAGACTATGCCTGGATCCCGGAGGATATAGTAGGGACCACATACCACTTCTTGGTAATGAAGACAAAGACTATATAGTGACTATAGTATAATGAACATGTCATTCAGTTTTTTTAATGAGAACTTTTTAGTGCCATTTAATGAGGTCTAAGATACACATGATCATATTTCCTGTTTTACTGGGTGCATTTTGCAGCAAACAATTGTCAATTTTACACAAAAGCACAAAGATCATTAACATAAAATGTACATTCTGAGATACCCAGAAAAAAATTCTGCATGTCCTCTCTTACACGCAAACATAGCAAAATATGCAACATTTTGCAGTGGGATCTTAGATGTAAATACTTTTCTTTCCCATCGTTCCTTACAAAAGAAACTGTCTGGCACAACCATTCAGGACCTGAATGCTAAACGTCACAGATCTTTTTTTCCCAATAATTTCTGTACTGGTTGTGATATTTTTGTGTGAACAAAAATATATAATATACAGAACAAAGCGAAAAGGGGATGGGTAAATAGATCATTTAAAAACTGATAATAAATATGAAGATTAATCAAATAAAGTGTTAAAAATCTATTTCAGATTATGGTATATTTAAAGTATTTCTTAAAACATAACCCACAACCTGTGGGCTGGACAGACAGACCATTTTATTCCATATCATTCTAGGTCAGAAAACCATGAACAGAGGTACTTGATAGATGAACGATAACAGTTACGGAGGCACATTCAAGACAAGCACAAGTAGAAACTGTAAAATACACAATCTGTGTGGACATGACTGCATATAACAATAACAAGCTGCATATATTAGTATGGTTGCCAGTCACAGATTCAAAGACAGCACTGTGGCATGCATAGAGAGTGTGGTAGCAGCAACTGGTATCTGGAGGATGATTATGTAACTGGAGAAAAACTTCAACAAGCAACCAACTTGAACAAGAAAAACAAACAAGATTAGATATATACAGAATCTCACTGATTAAAAATTAGATGAGTGACAAAAAGATCAGCTTACCGCAGTGCTAAAATTGTCATTTACTGCAAGGAAAAAGAGGGGGAAAGAAGTATAATGTGATTAATCTGACATTCTCCTCATGTATACATGGCTTAATGTCCAAGACAGCTACTAAAAAAGCTTAATATACATCCTGCTCATTTGACCCATTTCCCAAAATCTACACAACGTTGGTGTTACCTAAATCAGATGTCTATCTTCTAACTGATAGTGCCTCACCTCTCTGGCTGTTTTCTTCTGTAAGACATTTTTTTTTCTTCTTTATTACATGATAAAAAGGTCACTGATTGTATACTGAAGACCTTGTTATGCTATGAAGCTGCTCTCATAAGAGACAAATTAACATTCATTAACAAAGGTTCAAAATGTTACATAAACTAAATATTACATACTGATATAAAAGTTATTCACTTAAAATAATGCCATAAAAGATTGCCATGTGAGCAAATTAAGCATTTCCATTTCATTTAAAATGTAAAGAAACAAACCATAATAAATAAATATCTGTAATCCATAATAATGCTTCCTCCAGTGAAAGTCCATCCCCTGCTATCCTCTTACATTAAAATCCACCTACATATTTTTTTTAATCGTTTTAGACTGTTTTCACTTTTAAATAGTGCTTGATCTGTGCATATTTCTCTTATATTCAGACAAAAAAATTTAATGGAGAAAGCAGTATTATGGATAGATGACTTAGCGAGAAGCAATGGTTTGAAATTAAACCACACCCCCTTACCCAAATACAAAATAACCTGCTTTAATTTTATATAAATTCACAAACCAAATTAATGCTTAGATCATTTTACCTTGGAATTCCTGTGCACATGAACCACCATGAGGAGTAAAACAATATTCAGCAGAAACGACACAACCAGGAGTCCAGAACACGTTTTAATGGCAGCTTGGAGGGGGGACGGAGGAATTTGGTTTATAAAGAGATTTGTAGGAAAAGAGAAGACTGGAAAGCTAAATTAATTGGTCAGAAAGACCCACAGATCTCACACTTACCCCACAGATTCTGATTGTCATCTTTTAATGCTTGAACTGTAATAAAAGGGAAAACCATATAAAAACATGAGATATACAAGCCAGTGTCAACCTAAAAGATGAATATATATCATTCAAAATAAAATCAAAAAAAAAAAAAAGTAGGTTGTTGGCTTGTGATATTAAAGATTATGATGAAAAAAATCAGTATTAGATTTTATTTCACAAAACTATTAGTAATTATTGCAATGTACAAAATGATTAGTAATTAGTAAATGGCTGTATTAGTAAAATTAGTAATTAGTGACAATGCACAAGCTGTGGTGACTTCATTAGGTGCACCTATGCACCTGCTATATTTAATCGGCCAATTATCATCAAGTCACAGCGTACGAGTTTGTATACATGGACTTCATAATGATGAATAAATGGTGAGTTTAATTGTGCAATGAGTGTTTCAAAAACAGGTGAGAATTGTGCAAATAGCAACAACAAAAACAGGCAGATGGCAACATTTCTGTAGGTACAAGGCCTTATAAAAGAGAAAGGGTCAGATGGGTTCAAGCCAATGGGAAGATAACTGAAATAAAGACACTGCACTGGTGCTGAACGTTTCTAAATGCACAATATGAAACAGACCACTGCGTGTATGCTGAAGGCATTATGCTGCTCATTACAGATGAAGCTGCTCTCACAAGAGACAAACTTACTGATGGTTTCTGTACGTGCCGATGAAACTGCTGTCAAATCTACAAAATATTGCATACTCATATTAAAAAAAACAGTTAAATAAGGCCATAAAAGGCTCATCTTACCATATAATCAGAAATCAAGGATATTTCCAGTTAAATATCTGTTGGTTTCTTTAAATATTATCAAATTTGTACTACATTTTCTAAAAAACAAAACTTGGATTAAATGCTCAGTGTATTATATGCAAATAGTCACCATATTCTAATTTGTTGAGATAGTGAATTGGTGGGTTTTTGTTAAATGTGAGCCAAAATCATCACAATTAAAAGAACCAAAGACTTAAACTACTTCAGTCTGTGTGCATTGAATTTATTTAATACACAAGTTTCACAATTTGAGTTGAATTACTGAAATAAATGAACGTTTCCACGACATTCTAATTTAGTGAGATGCACCTGTACTTAATTGGAGAAGATTGATGGGATCCTTACTTTCAGGAGCAGTGATGTTTTGGCTGACCGTTGTTAAAGCTGTTGTGCCTATGTGATTAGAAAATGTGGTTTGATGTCAAAAAACTCTGATTCACGTGGCAGACAAAGTATCTGTCCTGTAATCTGTGTTGATGTGAATATGAAATGCAATATTGAATTTGCTTACTTTCATGATCTGTGGTGATTAAACTGACCGTTGTTAAAAATGCTGAGCCTATGTGATTAATTAGAAAAGAGATTATATTACACTTAAAGACCAATACAGCTATAATACCACGCATGTGCTCAGAAAGCTTTGAATCTGACGTCTTTCTTTTCCCTCACATTATCTTCAGGTTTGCATCTGTTTCAGCAAACATGGTTGTCAAAACTAGAGATACTTGGCTTGTTGTCACTATTTAATAATTATGTCTGTTTAGTAGTGGATGTTTAGGTCATGTACTTTCAAATAGTTAAGCTGACTGAACCTTTGATTTAAATATTTTTTAAAAATATTTATATTTGAATGTACATGAACTAATGATCTGTTTTTAATTTAAATAGTTGTGAATGGCAGTTAAAATATGTGTGTTTGAGATGTGAATATGAAATAAGAAACTGAGTCAGCTTACTGAATTCAGTGGTTGGGTTGATGGTTGTACCTGTGTAATTACAAAACATGATATATTACAAAAGGTTTCAACAGATTAATGCAACAACAATTTCTGTACTACAACACTCAGAGATTAACATATAATACTGTGTGTGCTTAGAGAGCTAAAGAAATCAGTTTCATTGCAATTATTCAAATGATAGTAAGAGCTACTAGAAACATCCAGACCAAATTTCATTACCCATCATTTTAAAATCACAGTTTTTGCATGTGTGCAAAAAAAATAATCAGCTATTGCTTAAAGTTAACATTTTCCTTTTTGTCAGTTTAAAAATTGACTCTTTTTTACAAAGAGTAGACAAAAAGATACATCATGGATATTTAAGTGAGATAACGTCAAATAACTTACTCTTTGATGGACATTTCAGGTCTAAGTAGAAAAAAGAGAAAGTGAGCAAAATGTGCATTTTCAAACATGTATTGTTCATAACATTCAACATACCACTCCATGTAATTTTGCATGTTTGTTTATTAAATATTATGTCTTAATTAAATGCCTTCAGCAACAGAGTATTGCCTTGCCAGAGATTTATGGTGGCCATTGTTCATATTATGAAGAAATTAAGGATGGGCAAGACTAAAGAAAAAGCATAAATGATGAAATGTTGAATGTCCATACCCGATACTGATCCATCACAAGATTTTTTGTACATTTCTCCAAAAGTGTTTGTGTCAATGCTGCGTACTGTGTACGCATCTGTGCAATTGAGATTAGCACAAAAGTCTGTAAAATTTTTGTCTAGCTATAGAGAGAAATAGGGAAACCATGCAGTCAGAACTGATTCTATTTGATATTTGAAACAGAATGACAGATTATGATAGAGTAAGCAGTATACTCACATTATACAGCATTATTTGAAAGGTTTCTAGCACTTTTAATTTATTCATGTCCTTAAATTTGTTATTAGTCCAGGTTGAACACAAGGTGTTTATTACTGATAGAAGCTTGTGTTCCTGGGAAAACAGTCAGAAACATATTGTAACCATAACATAACTATTATTAAGGGGAGACACTGCAGGCAAAAACACTGTTTTTCATGCCCCTGTCAATTTTGAGATTTTGGGCTTTTTGGTTTTTCATAAAGTGTTTTTTCAGACTAGTGGAAAGAAAACAGGTTACACTTTATTTCGATAGTCAACTTTAGACATTCTATTAACTATAAGTAACTTTGTAACTACATGTCAACTACATGTCAACTAATTCTCATTAATTTGCAACTACATGTCTACTAACTCTCAGAGTAGACTGTTATGGTAGGTTTAGGGTTAGTAGAATAAATTGACAAAGAAAGTGTTAGAAGATATTAAGCAGACAGTCTACTAATACTCTACTAACTGCTAGTTGACATGTAGTTGCAAAGTTACTTACTGTTAATAGAATGTCTAAAGTGGACTATCGAAATAAAGTGTTACCAGAAAACATCCAAAAGACACTGTTAAGTGTTTCTTTTATAGCACTTTATCTATTTGTGTCAATAGATTTCAATTACAATACATATTTTTAAAGGCCATTTTCTCAAAATGAGTTTTTTCTCCAACACTGAGCCATAAATCTCAACTTCAGTATCACTTACACACACCAAACTTTACATTTTTAATCCTGTCTATATTCTGAAGGTTTTTACAGAGGGATTTGTTCATATATAATTTTCTTGATTATATACAACATCTTATTCCCCCCAAAAATTGTGAAAATATATTGTTTTCTGGCTGTTCAAAGTATTTTCTGAATTATGGAGTGACAAAAAGAGATACCCAGAATTCCCTCTGTAAAAACATTTGACTCTAATATGTCAAAAAAATTAAACAAGAATTTTGAAACTGACTTCATCCAGTGTTCAGATTTTCATACTAGAAATGTATGCAAATTAGCGCATATTTCATTAAATAATGCCTCATTTGCATATTTAAACATAACATTTTAGAAAACTTGTAATACAAAATTTTTTTGCAATTATCAATGTAATCAATCAACTGGGTAAGTAAGGTGATAACTATTAGTTATTTTTTTTACCCTATTAACCTGCAGTGTCTCGCCTTAATTATTAAACTCAATTATTTAAACTAAAATTCATACCAGCATAGACTGACAGAGAAATGCAGTTTTGTAGCTCAAGTTAATAAATCGTTATAATTATTATGTTTGTCTTTTTCTGTGCAATACATTTGAAATAACAAGAAACATCTAAAGAAGCTAATAGTGCTTATAATAACACATTATCCAACTACTACTACCACTAATATTAAAAGTAAATAAAGTTAAATAAAGTTAATAAGTAAATAAAAGTCATCTTACCTTTGTTTCAGGTGAGAACACCTTAATCTCAAACACATGCTCTTCCAACAACAGGTCATCCTATGCAGATTTAAAGAAGATACAGTATGTACATATTTAAGGACTCATGCACAGTCAGTATATAGTCGGCAGTGTTGGGCAGTAACTAGTTACAGTAATAATATTACTTTTTTGCAGTAACTAGTAGTGTAACTAATTACTAATAAGATTTCAGTAATAATATTACACTTACCATCCATAAAACAGCTCATTACTTAGCTACTTTTGATGCCTCAACCCCTACTGATTTGAAATCCAACAATCCAATAATTCCTAGATTTATTTTCATAATTTTCACGACTCGCACAGGCGCATGAAGTCACCAGTGCATCAGGAAAGCTTGGAATATGGAAACGCTTACAATCAGCGGATGGAAATATTGCCATTACACTGATTTTGTCATGAGAAAGGCTGATCTGAACACAGATGTGTAAGATGTGGCATTACTTTACTCTGGTATTACATGGCCTGCCCTCCCACATCCCTCTGATCCCGATAGAAATTATATTACTATAATTAAACATCTTATGAGCTTATGTGATTTCTTTTGATAAAATACTTCATGAAATATAACAGAGAAATTATAGCTACAATTAGCTTCAAGCTACACATAACAATTAATACAACACTTTTACTTAAAAGTCACTATCAATCACCATTGAGTGTTTGTAATAACTTCTGACTGCGATCCAATGTAGATTTTGGTCAAATGATGAGGCAGAAATATATTGTTAGTAACATTTTAGAAGAATTTTATGGGGAAGATACACAATTACAACTTCTGTGGGGCGTGAAGGAAAAGTAATGTAACTAGTAGTGTAACTAATTACTGTTGCCAGAAAGTAATAAGTAAAGTAATAATATTACTTTTGAAAGGAGTAACTAACGAGTAATAAATTACATTTTTGGAGTAATGAGCCCAAAAATAAACGTTAGCACTTTATTTTACCGTCCTATTCTGCATGAACATACTACGTACTTACTAAGTAATTACAATAACTAGTTAATAACTAGGTAATAACCATGAACCTACCCCTAAACCTAAATAATCAGAATATCATCCTGCATCATCTTAAAGTAGTTTATTTTTACAATATTGATTGCAGACTATCCTGATTATTACAAGGCTACTTAAGAAATACATAAAATATTGATTTGAGGGTAACACATTATAATAAGGTTCTATTAGTTAACATTGGTTAATGCATTAACTAACATTAAGTAATAAAATGGTTACAGTATTTATTAATCTGTTAATGTTAGTTAATAAAAATACAACTGTTCATTGTTAATTCATGTTAGCTCAGGTCCATTAAATAATACTAACAAGATGAATTTAATATTAGTAAATGTTGAAATGAACATTAACCAAGATTAATAAATGCCCTAGAGGTATTTTTAGTTCATTTTATCTTGTTTACTAAGGTTGATAAATGGAACCTTAGTGACCTTAGGACCACATAGTGCTACGAGAGACATAAATCAAGCACATTATTGGAAACTGGTAGTCAGGGACAACAATTTACACTTTAGGGGTCATGGCACCAGAACACTACAATTGACTAATTTGAATCAAATGCTTCATAAAGCTATGAAAAAGTGTAGATAAGGGATAAGATAAGACTAATGTAACTTACTAATGTAAAGTAACTTATACTAGGCACTATGTACTCTATTGTCTAGTGTATTAAATGTCTAAGCTTAATTTGTCATCCAGCATTAAAGCCCTTTCCCCACCATAAGGAAAGTAATAAAACACTTAGTTGTAAGAATGTAAGAACAGCTACATATTGTGAGATGTTAACTGCTTGTTATCTGCATATAACATGACTTAACATTATGGCTATAACACTTTTTAGAAAACATTTTACATTGCACATTGTTGCAAGATGCTTTCCCAAGTTAAAAACTCAGAAATGTGCAGGATGAAAAGCAACAAGCTCCAGATTCACTTGGGAGTGATATGGGCAGAAAGTCGCAAAAAACATTGAAGGATAGACTCACCAGATGTGCTTTAACATCGTGCGGCATACACCCGGATTGGACATCATGAATATATGTGATGAATGAAACGGCCTATGAAGGAAATGCCAAAAATCAAGTCCCAGCTCTGGACAACTGTCATCTAAAATAATTCATCGTATGTTATGTATCTTATGGAAACACTGTTGTATTTTTGTAATACAATTTACATGGGCTATCTTTAACATGGTGCAATAAAAAATAAACTGCAGCCACACAACACCTCACTGAAAGGCTTAAACATTTCATTCCAAGGACTTGCACTAACACATTAGCAAAGACTGATAATAACTCACAGTGATCAATGTCCAGACTTTCCCACTCATTACGCTGCTTTGTTAACCATCAGAGTTCAGCTCCATAAGCCACGACACTTTGCCTTGCTGGATGTAACATAGGAAACATAGCAGAGACGAAAGAGAAAGTATTTAAGAAAGGACAACACCAATGAGTAATCATATCATTATATCATAACAGCAATATTAAGTCAGAAACAACATAATAATTGGGTATTAAACCAATATACTCAAAAATACATTAGTCTGCATTGTCCCTTGAGAATCTAAAATTGACAATTAGCGCATTCTTTAATGGACTCAAAAAGAAAAAAAGTCTGCTTTATCCAGACAAATGGACTGTTTCTACTATGTCATCCTGGTTAATGGATCCACTTAAATAAATGCGAAGCACACAGAAAAACAGAACAGCTAGCGACCTCTAGAGTAACTTCAGTAAATTTTCACAGGGCATGTAGAACAATAGCAATGAAAGTAAATGTTAATGGTATTAAGAATACTATAATATTACTTAAACAAAGCGTTTATACCCAATTATAACTCTTCTGAAGATACCAGCCAAGATTGAAAATCTATATAAATATTTTTAAAGAGAATTAAAATCTGTATGGACAAAAGCATGCGTGTGTTTAGATGTGTGACACAAAATCCTATAAGCAGGATCAGTTACACCAATACTTCTAAAGTAAAAAAAACAAAAAAACTGGGTCATAACAGTACTTTCACTAAAGCACAGATTCGTGTCAGACTGATCTGTCACAAAGTGTTTAATAGGGCATCTTGTGTTTTGGTGCCACTGGAACATGCTGTTGGAAGTTGTGGCACATCCAATGACATTTAGTTTCATGTGCCACTGGAATCTGCACTGGGTTGTGAGGCATTTTCAGTGGCACATGGCACTTAAAGTTATGGCACAATAGGTATGAGAAGTTTGTTATTAAATTATTAAATCTAAAAAATGGTGCTGTGTTCAGAATCGCTTACCCATTTGTTAATTCGTTCACTAAGCCTTATATAGTGTGTGGCAGTTGAGTGCACTATTTCAACAAGAAGACAGCTGGATCTGTCACAGAAACATGTGTGGAAAAATAATCATAATTATAATATGACATTAATTACTTTAACTTTATTTTGTAATTATACATATGTCGGTGCTAGCTTTGGGATGTCATTGTTATTCATGCAATTAATGTTAGTTTGGTTTGTTATGCTTAATTTAGTTTCTTAACCCTCTGGTGCTCTTCAGTCATTTTTGATAGCACAATATTTACTTGTTTTTTTCTTCATCAGAATGGTACGAAACTTGGTAAAGATTTTGGCACTAGTGGAAACGTTTGGTACTGTGCCCAAACAAAATCTCATTGAAAGTTTATTTTTTGAGATATGAACTTTAAATGTGGAACAAAACTGTTTTAGATTTATGATGTTCGAGTAAAACATGTTATGGAAAATATATATGTCATACAAAATTTGAAAATAGTATTTTTGTGCATTTGTCAAAACAATGACCTTAAACTTTTTAGAATTTTACTTTTTTTTCACTTTATCAATAATTAGCTAAGTGTCTTCTTTAAAAAGAGACACAATTTCAGTCTGCACTCCAAAGAAATCAAGATTTACAGCAGTTTCAGTTTGAAATTTCATTTTCAGGTCTATGCTCAAAAAGTGGTTAACAGGTAATATGGATAAAAAAAACTACTGTATAAATATAATTTAGTACCATAAAATCCCCTAAAAATACAAAATATTAAGTTAAAAACATTATACTTTGTACATAGTACATTCATTTCATTGAAAAAAAGGTTTTGACTGCCATGCAAGGAGCACCAGTGTCACGCCCTTGGACTGTTGTGTGTGTTTTCTCTCCCCATGTGCTCCGTGACCCAGTTCCTCCAGTGTCTAATTAGTAAGTCTGTGCACCTGTGTTCCTCCCAATTCCCTTGTTATGTCATGTAGAAGAGTTCCTGTCTGTGCATTTCTCATTTGTCGGGTCTACATGTTATATTGCTACGTCTGTCATTCTTCCTTCCTGTGGATTTACCCCTGTGTCTGATCATTAAAAGACTGTTTAATGCTTCTCTGCGTCTCCTGCGTTCCTTCCGGCAGCGAATTGTGACAACCAGAGGGTTTTAAAAAAGTGCCAACAAGAATAAACACATTAACAAGTGTAGGCCTACATTATTGTTAGGGCTACAACGAGTGTTTGAAAATCAGCGAGGTCTGAGGTGGGATGTCAAGAACTGTACTGTAATTATACCTACAATAAATGCAAGCCAACTACATATATGTTACATGTGTTGTCTTGTGTGGGATTGTTCAGTGGTTCCCCTTGATTAGTCTCCCCAGGTGTCTTGTTATTTTGATTAGCCCCCTGTGTATACAGTCCTTGTGTTTCTTTTGTTTTTTGTCAGGAATGTAATGTAATGGTGCCTGCATGTGTATAATGGTGCCACACCCTGCATCCAGGTCCATGTCTGCTTGCTTTACCTTCCACACATTACACACTTAAACACAGACAGATATGTAGCTGTTTGTGAAAGATATTTTAATTAGCCTAATACAAAATTATGACAATTTACAGACAATGTACAAACTATTTGCTCCTATTAAGGTCTAACAGACTACATGACATTATTTTAAATGTTTAATATTTTATTTTATTAATACAACAGATGATGTGTTCCTCACTGAAGAGAGAGCTGTTACACGACCAAGGGGCGGCGTTTCCTTATGGCAGAGTACGGCAGTTGCCATACCCTAGCCCAGTCAGGTGTGCCGTGAAAAATTATCCAAACTTCATATCTCTATTGTAATTCGTTATTATTTTAAATCAGAGGGTTTTTCAAATATTTAACCATTGATAAGTATTACAAAGAGCTGTCAGTTAAATTTCGTAACGCCATTGGATCCTCAAGCTCTCAGCAAAACCTCGTAACTTCACCCCGTCTCTATTCAGATTGACGCGCCGCGCACAGCCTGGAGGAGACAGCTATATCTCCGCTTTTTCGCAACCGTAAGAATCCACCCGCCGGCCCTAAAAGCGGAATCCAGCGGCCTGGTCGAAGGTTTAATGTGTGTTCGGTCTTGTACTTGGGCCTCTGAATTTATCAGGATTAATACAACAATACCAATGTCTCCACAGCTTTGACTGATACCGTGTAGTACTAACCCTTATATTTGATAGACCCACAATAATCTCATTTTTTGAAGCATTTAGCCGGCAGATACATCTATACATAAGATTTCGTAACAGTGCTTTAAATGTGAATACTCTTGCACTCACAAACATTTCACTTGCACTATGCCATTTAGGTCTCTTTAGTAAAATTCTCATTGCATCATTATAAGCTACTTGCAGCTTCTGTAAACTAGATGTTCTATAGTTGAACCACAGATGAGCAGTATAAAGTGTTGTACAATATGCTTTAAAAAGTGACACCTTCACCTCATCTGAACAGAAACTAAACTTACGTAAAAGTATATTCGCCTGCATATACATCATACGGCGTTGCCTTTCAATATCCTCATCGTCTGTCATGCGTTCAGTGATGAAATGTCCAAGGTATTTTACTTTAGCACACACAGTGAGACTCCTATTAGACAACTTGAAAACTGGAAATTTTATACTTTTATCCTCCTTAGTTCTGCAAATCATAACCACACTCTTATCAGGATTATATAAAATATCATGTTCAAGACCATAATCAGAACACATAGTTAAAAGCTGTTGAAGACCAGCACTGCTAGGACTAAACGCCACAAGATCATCTGCATACATAATATGATTCATTAGAATATTCCCAATCATACACCCAGTTTTACAAACATTCAAACATTCAGATAGATGATCCATGTAAAGATTAAACAGAATTGGGGACAAAATCCCTCAAGATTTTGGTAGGCTACTATTAGATGGATAGCCTAAATGTCCTAATTCAGATGGGCTACCTGTTTTTTTTATGATATATCAAAAAGTGTGTATTTTTTAAATGTGATTGTTGGTACATTTTACCAGTTTTTACCATACTTTCAAAACAAAAATTAAAATAGGAAAAATATGCAATATGAAAATAATTGAAGACAAAATGTGTTTTACTGAGAAAAAACAAGATTTGGTTTTTAAAAAGCCTTTTTCGAAAAGGTACATCTGGAAAAAGGGGGGTCGTCTTATAATCAGGGTCGTCTTATATTCGGGCCAATACGGTAGTTTAATTTTAATTTTAGTCTAGCTCCGTGTTCAATCTGACTCCAATTTCAAGTGATCATTAAATGTAGGCAATATTTCTAATTAAAAACTTATCACAGATATCGATTGTATATTAATTTAGATATTTGATTATTCTGGAAATCCCATACTTTCGATTATTCGTTCATTAACGACCCAGTGTCGCTTAGTAATTCACTTGGCCAACAGCTCTGATCTTACTCAGAGGATACAGGGTGATTGTAATACCTTTAAATAGGCTGCACCCAGCTAGCACATAACAAAAAGTGTAATTTTTCTATAATCACGAAAAACTGTAACTTGCTATGTCAGTGACAGACAGAAATCAGAAGATCCCTAATGATGAGCCCCCGCTTCACTCATTGGTGCTTCAGGAAACACCAGACTACGATTTTAATCTAGAAATAATCATGATTTCAGAAGAGATCAGAATAAATCAAATATAACAATTTATTATTAGTCAGGTAAAATTGTATCATGCCAATTACATAATGAAACAATTAGAAGCCAATTTAGAAAGGATAATGCAATTGTGAATCACATTGTAACCGCGTGGCAACCCTGCTCCTGCACATACTGTAGCTATATGGGGAATAGCCATGTGTTCCACAGGAGACAAACACATGTAACATAGTCACACATGTAACAGTTATACTAATTTTAACACAAGGCTCATGGTCTAGAATGCATAGCATCTATACAACCTTTTACCTAAGCATTTCAAAGAACACTTACAGCAAAGCAGTCGTGTTTTAAAGAATAAACTTAACTAGCCTATGTGCACACTTAGTAGCACAAACAACTATACAGTGTGTTCTATGGGCACAATGTGTTCAACACAAATACATTTTTGAATAAAAAC